CATGTAGGTCAAGCTGTGATACAACTCTAAAGTATATAGCACCTAGAGTAGATAGTCCAACTCCGAGGTGTTCGTGGTTGCCCTCTCCGGTCGTGCTCTCCATGCTGGCAGGCCGAAGCAAAACATGAGCCTTGAACCTCATTCTCACACTGCATGCGATCAAAACGAGGTCACATCTTGATCTTATCATCGTGTGCTGGGGGCCCAGTTTTACCGGTCATCGTTTTTGGTCGCTGGAAGCAAGAACAGGACACAGTCGATTTGTGCGATGATGCAAGTGCTGGCGATTGGAGTGTGTGGTTTTCCATGTATAGGGCAAGCTGTGATATAACTCTAAAGTATATAGCACCTAGAGTAGATAGTCCAACTCCGAGGTGTTCGTGGTCGCCCTCTCCGGTCGTGCTCTCCAGGTGGGATACACTCAGGGTTATCATGGACTCTCACGGTTGCCTAGAGGGCTTGGGGTATTGGATTGGTTTGGGGTGTTGCGGGCATTGGTTTAAGCTTGGTTGAAGCCGCTTGGGATATTGGAATGGGCCGGGGTGTTGGGGCTTATAGGTTTAAGCAGCTTCCGTTACGGGGATCAGTTCAGGTTAAACGGCTTGGGTACTGGAATGGCTTGGGGTCTTGGGGCTTTTAGTTTCAGGGGTTCGAGGTATTGGAATGGCTTGGGGTGTTAGGGCTTTGGGGTATTGGAACGGGTTGGGGTGCTGGGGCTGTAAGTTGATAAGGGGCTTGGGGTATTGGAATGGGTTTTGGGGTGCTACAATCACTGTTGCATACAATCCTATTGGACCTTCCCAAACACGGACAACCTGAAAAGCATTATAACCCTAAAATACATAACTGCTAGAATGCTATAGTATATGCTAGAATCTATAATTCCATATGTGTATTTCTTCTGAACCGTGCCAGCAATACCCAGGCCTGTATGAGCCACCGAATCCACAAAAGCTTGTAAAACCGCTGAAAACTTGTTCCAAGAATCCGCACAACCTTGCCTATGTACAACCCTTTATAGAACCCTCGAATCATTCCATCATTTCTGAGCCCTACAAAAAGCTTAAAAACTCCAGGCCCCGAAAAGCGCCTACACCTGAAGCAGTACCCAACCCTTGACATCCGAAATGGCACAAAACTTATATAGAAATTATGTGGAGTCTCACCAAGGGGTTATACTAAAGGGCTTTAGGGGTGTGACTGTTTGTTGTGATGCTTTGGGTTTTAGGTTTTAGACTCCTGGAGCTAAGGTTCGGGGATAAATCAGGGTGTTGTGCCAGTTGGGGTTTATATTATACATTGTCAGGTTGGCAAGTGCTGGGTGTTTTGGGTTAAGGGTGCTTTCGGACTGTAAGGCTTTTTTTCGGTGTCCGCAGACTCAAGGTCAACAGCCTTGTATTGTTAAGCCCACAATGCCCACCGCCAGAAAACACTCCCACCGCCCGAAAAGCCTATTCCCAAGCATGCTCGTGCCTTTATGTTATATACTGTACAGTCTGTAGTCTCTGTACACATCCTCCATACCCATGCAAAGGGTCTCTACAAGAACAAGCTGTGCGATCGTGTGTCAGCAATGAAGAGAACAAGATCGGGAGGACAGCGGCAGAGGATCGCAAAAGCGATGGCAGAGGAAAACTCTGCAGCTGGGGACATGTCTTCTTCGAGCCTCCTGGTGACTTACCTGCTGACTGAAGTTGTGTGGGGGCTGATGAGCCCACAGCAGGCACAGCACATCAGCAATTTGGTCATGCTGGATATGAGAGCTGGCCCAGCAGCTGTTAACGAAATTTCGACAATGGCTGCTTGCGGCTGCAATGGGAAATATCCGAACAAGTGCTATGCCGACATAATGAAGAACTGTGTGCCTGCCGAGGTGAAAGTGCCCTCACCTTTCCTGTTTCCCTTACCGATGAAAGATCCTGTTGGGGAGATCGTGCAGGCCTGCCTTCTGCCGCATGAATTATTCGCCTCAGTTTGGAGCTCCTACAAGGCGACATGGCATCATTCGATTTTGGGATCTGAAGGGCGACTTCAAGAATTCTGGAATACAATGGAGCAGGGCCGTCATCCAGCTGTGACCCCGGAGCTTTTGAACAGCAAGCCCGGATTCCGCAACACTTGTGTACCACTGGGCTTACATGGTGATGGGGTTCCCCTGACTGGAATAGGGAAAAGTTGGCAGCAAACAATCACCAACTTTAGTTGGTTCAGCCTCCTTGGAGAAGGAAAGACCGAGGAGACACTGTTTTTTATATTCGCCTTGTTCGACAAATTGCGAGTCTTGGGTTCGGATGCCAATGCGACCGCTCATCGATTTTTCCAGCTGCTACATTGGAGTTTCCGGGCACTTTTCCGAGGCAAGTGGCCCACTCATGACTTCCAAGGCAACCGGCTTCCTGGCTATTTACGAATGCTCGCCATAAGATCGAAGCTTTTGTATATTATACAAGGTATATGAAGCCCTTTTCTCGAGCCTTTTTTGTTTTTCAGCCAGGGGATGCAAAGTTGAGAGTTTAGGGTTTGGGGATTCGTGTATGTAGGGTGTAGGGTTTGAGTGCTCATATATATATATATATATATATATATGTATGTATGTATATATATATATATATATATATATAGGGTTTACACATATACCCAGGTATATTTTCGAATACATGGAGGGATAATGTTGTGTTTTGCTTCTTCATTCGCAAAAGGTTCAAAGCCGGAACAACGTCAGCAATGAAAGCTGGGACTGACCTAGCAGGCGGCTACTCTGCAATGCTCTTCAGTTTCGTCGGTGACCTTGATTATTATTTTACTGTATTGGGTCTTCCCAACAGCCGGGCCGTGAACGGCCCCTGCACACTTTGTGCAGCCCAGAAATTTGGACCCCGCTCTTGGATGGATTTCTCCCCTGGTGCCGAATGGAGGCAATCCTGCTTCACAGCCGAAGGATGGTTCGAATCTTCGCAGCGGACATCATGTCCGCTGTTTTCCTTACCACATGTCAGTGGACTCAATCTTGCATATGACTGGATGCACTGTAAGTATTTGGGGGTAGACCAGTACATGTATGCCGCCCTGATGGTCCTTTTGACACATTATGTTATGCTCGGGGCCACACCTCTTGAGAACCTACGAGCTTTGTGGCGAGACTTGAAGACGGAGTACGAACGGCAGCAAACACCGATTCGTTTTAGATACTTGACATCCCTGCGGATGTTCGTACGATTGCGAGGATCTCCAAAATTACGAGGCAAGGCTGCCGAAATAAAATACTTGGCAGGTCCATTTGCAGCAGTATGGGACATGCACAAGACTGCAGGGGTGGTCCTGCACGACCAGATAAGCATCATGCTGCGACTGAATGCCCGTATCGAGGAGATTCTGCTTGCTCACCGTGGCGACATTTCTTTTGGTAGTGATGCTGGTGTTTTCAAAGAGGCCCTGGACGGGATGCTGCTGCTGCAGTATAACATCTCCCAAGAGCTTGCTGCTTCCGACCCCGCCATCATCATGAGCATAACTGAGAAGGCACATTTTCTACAACACAGCTCCATGCTTTCTCATTGTTTGTCGCCGAGGTTGGTTTGGGCCTTTGCTGGCGAGGACCAGCAGAGAAGAGTTCAGGCTCTGGGCAAGGCCAGTGTGAGGAGACTTGGACCCACTGGTGCATGCTTCAAGATCGCGGGCCGCTATCGTGTTGCACTTCACTTGAAGTTTTCCGAGCACTCCAAGGCAGCCACACCCTGAAAAAGAAGGACCTCTGGGATGTCCGAATTTCACACCAGCCGTTTTTTGCAACATCTAATAAGCCCTTCAAACATACCGGAGACCATCTATGAGCCCTTTATAAACACCCACAATAACCCTATATATGGATGGGATGGGTTTCGTTGTCGTGTGGGTATTCTGTGATCATATTTTGGATTCTTCGTCATTCTATACCACAGCCCACAGGAGACATGATATTCTCTCGGAAGCTTTCGCACTCACAGACAAGACCTGTCAGGTACAGTTGTGGTCTACATCTACTTCAAGAAGGAGACGGCGAAAGGCGCCGAAGAGAGAGCACAACCTTGAGTGAGAAAGGCACACCAAAGAGAGAATACAACCTTGAGGGTGCGAGAAACACCAGACAGAAAGAGTAAGAAAGAACAACCTCGAGAGACCCAAAGGGAACAGTGTCAATTTTGCGAGCTTGACAAAGCAAAAGGACAGAGAGAGACAATTTATACCAAGAGCTTCTCTAAAAGAATCATACCTACCTATACCATATATACATATGTGTGATACATACAGGCACACATTTTTAAATCGAGTTTAACTTTTTCCACACAGAAAGATCTGAAGAATTGTACCTTTGCCTGTTTGATGAGCTCCGGCAAGATCACAGAAGATTTAGCTTTACCTCTGTGCATATATCTGCACGGAAAGATCTGAAGACTTATACCTTTGCCTGTCTGCTGAGCTCCAGAAAGATCAGAAGAATTACCTTTACTTCTGTGCATACTTCCACAGAAAGACATGAAGAATTATACCTTTGCCTGTCTGTTGAGCTCCAGAAAGACCAGAAGAATTACCTTTACCTGTGCAGATCTCCACGGAAAGATCAACAGGAGCAGCTTTTACTTTAGTGCAGTTTTGCATATACATCGTCAGTCAAAGAGCACAGCAAACTGCTACCAAACTGCTTCGCTCAGCCCTCCAAACTGCTAGGGTCTCGCCCGGGCCTCCCGAAGCAGTTTAGTTGAAATTTCCACTAAACTTCCTGCGCATCTGCGCCGACCTGAACAGTCGAAATCGTAGAAATCTATAGATTTGGACCACACGATCTGACGAAATAGTTTCGTAGTTTAGACAACTATTTGTCGAAGCTTCGTCAACTTTTGTTGTCGTCGGCAAACACGAATAAGGTTAATCTGTGTGGCGCCGCAAGCATCTATCTAAATCGAAGGAATCTGTCTAACCGGGTCTATTGGGTAATCCTTATGTAGTGCCCTTGCCGGCGAGAACTACTGGCCCACCAGAGTCAAACCGAAAAGGAAGAGACCAGCTGGCAACCTGTCGGGCCCGCTCGAGGGAGGGATACTGCAGCAGAGGGAAGCGGGTGGCCTCTGGCTGAGATTGTTCAGGAACAATACTAAAGGCGTCACCATTACGCAACCGTAGATGAGTGTGCGGGTTGGCTGCGCGTAACACAGGGGGCGCAACCACTCGCCAGTAGCGAGCATGCGTGAATACACGAGCGGCGAGCCGCTGAGGAGTCAACAGACGCCAGAGCCACGGCTGAGCAACTTTCCATGTGAAAGACAACTGTAGCGAGGCCATATGGGGCCACTGGAGCAAGAGTGAGCTGCGAGACGGGAAGCACAGCACGCACCGGAAAGAACCTGCGCGACCAGAGACCACAGTGCCGAGCACCTTCATGCTCCACTTCCCGCCAGGTGCCGGCCAGGTTAATGAACAAGAGCTCGCTCCAGCCCCGCAGTGGGCAGAGGACTCTGGCAGTCTGCGGCCTAGGCCCCGGAAAGTAGCGTGCGAGTGGGCCGTCTGGGGCGTCAGGTCGCCAGCCACTCTGCGGAACGTAGGGCTCACCATCATTAAGGTCAACTCGAGGAGGGAAAAACCGTCCCGGCCACTGTGAACCCGGTGAGCGACTACGGCTGGTCGGCGGCGGGTGCGGATGGTTCTAGCCTCGGAGGAGTCAACACTTGGGCAGCTCGAAGAACCAGCCCAGGCATGGGCGGTAAGGCTGTAGAGAAGCCAGGCAAGCTGTGCCGGGAAGGAGAGATGGCGCCCAAGCAGCCCAACGGCAGCTGAGTGGACCCACCAGTCGCCATCGCGCACAGTGGCAGTGCGACAGGCGTGACTTGAAGCAGGGCGTACAGTATAACCTGAGATGTGAAGGTCATGAGCGTCGCGCTCCACTTCAATGCAACGAGTGGAGTCGCAGGACTGGATAATATTAGCGCGGCCTGCCACTTCAGACTGTTCAACGAGCCAAGGTGGTGCGCCGAGGTGACCATGGCAAGGCGCCCAGCGGTGGGTTCCTAGCTCCTGTTCATGGTTATGTACCGTGGCAGCAGCTGCAATCCATCGGGCTTGATGCCTTAAAAGGGCGACTCGAGTAGGGCGGCCAGGTGACCACAGCAGGACACAGGAGGCCTGAGCAACGAGAAAGTCAGAGTGCCACGCGGCCGCAGCATGGGCAGCCCCCCATGTTAGAAAGACAGGTGGGTTCCGCGGCCCGGCAAGTGGGTCAAGCTGAAGTGGACTGATAGCAATAATATCCCCAGACCTCAGAGCAAGAACCGGACGGCTGGCACGGACAGTAGCCGCCAGTCCAGGTAGCAGGCTGACGCAGACTCGTTTGCCAAGTCGCATTTGAATGGCTTGCGTGAGATCCCGCGGGGTCATGAAGGCTGGCAGGATAACGCACAGCAGCTGACCCACGCCTTGCACCAACAAGCAGACCAGACGACGCCCGGGTAAGGGAACAACAACCTGGGTGCTGTCCAGCACAAGTCCCGTAGCTGCAAAACCCTGATGCCAAGATGCTAAAGTGTGATGCGCATCCGCGACGACATCGTCAAAGAGGTTGCGCGGGTCGGCTTCGACCCGATTCCAAGGGGCAAAAGGGTTAGCAACCATAACAGTGACGCGAGGAGCTGCAGCGGCCGGGACGGTGGCTGACGAGGCGGACGCTTGTTGAAGCATGGCTTGAGAAGCAGGGATACACGCGGTGGCCGCCAGAAGGGCAATGCCGCGTAGGCCGGAAAACAGGAGGGCGGCCGAGACACCAGGAAGGATGGGGCAGCAAAGAGAGCCCCGCCACCACGACTGTGGGCCCCCTATGGCAGATGAGGTGCAGCCCAGGGCAATGCCACTCCAGGGAGGATCCTCATCAACAGAGCAGGAGGACCCTCCGATTAGCGTCTGGCAGCTAGGTGCAGCGGCAGTGTGAGGCGCATGAAAGGGAGTAATGGCATGTGGGTCTCTAAGACCGGCGTGGTATGAAAGGGTACAACCCACAAGAAGAGGCAGACGCGTCTGCCGCTGCCGGCTCAGATGCAAGGTGGTGAGGGTCACACCGAGCCACCAGCTCGGTAAGCCTGGGCTACGAGGGCATACACTCCGGTCGAATGCCCCAAACACAACATCACCGTTCCTGAGTTCGCAGGCCTGGTCCAAGGCATACGCAGGCACTCCGCCAACTTGTATCGAATCCGGGCAGAAGTGTAGCTGGTCAGCAACGCTGTGCCGGGAGGCAATGCGGTCGACAGTACGGCATAGTCGGCCCTCTGGCGTGGCCGCGACAACATTGACTCGAGCAGCGACCCCGTTGACCTCAATAAGCTGCAGGGCACGGGCACTCGTCCATTGGACAGGTGTCCACATGCCCGGAAAATGGTGCTGGAACTCACCTGAAAAGGAGAACGCTTCAGGGCACCAAGATTCGCCAGCCGGTATAGTGGTGAGCAAGGGCGGTTTTTCAGGTCGCAGCAAATGGACTGAAATCGGGAACATAAGCTGAAATCCGACCGCCCAAGGGGCGTGATGTGCAGCCAGGCCATCCTGTAGATGCCAGGGCTCAACTAGTTCAAGTGGCTCATCGGGGTCATCTGGTGGATCATGTACATACACGACGTCCCCGTTGCGGAACCTAAACGCGGCAGGTGGAACATCAAAAAGTTCGCAGACGGCAAGCCCGTGGGGAAGAGACACACCCCCAACAGCACTATTGATATGTCTGGCCGTGAAGGACGTAATCCAGTCCACGGTCATCGTGCGGGGAACAATTGTGGCCCGGTGGTGGCCCCGCCAGATGAGCATCAATGTAACCAAAGCTGGATCGCGTCCAATTGGGACGATGGAAAGTTCATTGAATGCCGGCCCCGGCCAAACGGGGAAGAAGTCTTCAGCCCAACCCGGGTCATCATTGCGGAACTGCGCCCAGACTTGCGAGTGGGGAGTCTCCTGAGATGCCGTGTAGGGAGGGAAAACCCCTAAGAAGGGACTATGCAGGACTACATAGACTGGATCCTCGGCAGTTATCCCTGAGAATACACGGTTCACCGAGTCGGTCCCCCATGGGAAGCCTCCAGGTCTGTGCATACTCAGGACCAGGCTGGGTAGAATGGCGGCAACAAGCCAGGTAGAGCCAGGGCGGCTGCGAAGGACCGGCACTGGGACTGGGGGACGACGTGGGCCGCGGAGCAGGCCGGCTTCAGCGATTCGGTTCTTCGTGAGTCCCGCCCCCTGGCGCAGGCCTCGGAGATGGAGGAGCCCGATGCCGCAGCTGAGCCGGCGACGGAGCAGGTGGGAACTCTTCGGGTGGGGGGGTTCGATTCTTCTTTGCTTGCCCCGGTCCCACTCAGGCCCATGCGGCGGGGAAGCCGGGCGATGATGTCGCGGCGCCGGCCACGGAGCAGGCTCGGCCACCAGACCTGAGACACCTGAGACATGTGAGACAAGAGCAAAACTAGACTAGAGGCGTCTCAGGTCTGTCTCATTTGTCCCATGTGCATTTTTGCGTCAAAAGAAGCCCAGAAAACGAGCATGAGACACATGAGACGCGGCTGAGACATCACTAGTCTAGTTTTGCTCTTGTCTCAGTTGTCTCGCCTGTCTCACGAGTAAAAGAGGGGCCCAGAGAGATGGTGAGGCAGCTATGGCTGAGGATTCGTCAGCAGGGCTGGCATCGCCCTCGCCCGCATTCACCGTTCCTCTAGCAGCAGTAGGGTCCCTGCCAGCTTGGCCTGGGTGGGACCGACGGGGGACATGCCGCCTAGCTGAGAGGCAATCGCCGTTCCTAAACTGGACAACCTGTGTACCTTCCTGTACCTCAGGCGGCCGAAGGTCATATTCAGTGCCATCCAAGCGCAGGGCCCTGAGGGCAGCGATATCAACTGTCGCGGGGAGGCAGCAGGGAATTAAGCGGTGCTCAATAGCGACCCCTACAGCTACGTTACCGGGCGCCTGAGGACAGCCAATGAGATGAACTGCCCTGGCATCGGGCTGAGGCTGGAGGAGCACCAGACCAGCCCAGCCGCGGCCTCTAGCATGACCCGCGAAGAGGACGAAGGGATTAATTTCGGGGCCCGCTGAATACTCGACCATCTCACACTGCTGCCGTGCGGTGAACGGGTTATGGATGCAAAAGGGCGTGCCGAGTGGGATCGCGGCTGCAAGTGTTCGGATCCCGCATCGAAGACCTTGGAGGTCTGCCTGGACTCTCCGCACCGTATCTTCATCGGCCGCAGGTTCCCTGTCTACCGTGGAGGGCCATTGTCTCAAGGCATAATCCTCAAGTGGCCTCGCCGCGCGAAGAAACATCATGTGAGGTTGGAAGGGAGCATTCACCGGCTCTGGCGGGGGAGGGCCGGCCGGTCGCACAACGGGTGCGGGGGCCCAGTCCGCCGCTGACATATTAGTGGCCTGCACAGCCGGAGGGGCAGTATCATTAACCTGCTCTTCCTCAGAGCTGGCCTGCGGTGGTGTAATGATGGACCCCGAGTTGAGGGTAGCAAGGACAAGGAGACTCCCAACTGCCCCAAGGGCGCGAGGTACCTGAACGCTAAGAAGAAGCAAAGCTGCCCACGGCAGTCTGCACACAGCCTGAGAACCTGCTGCATCGCTGAGATCCAAGAGATCGGCCGTAGAGGTATCAGCCGCGCATGCACTCTGGGAGGAGAGTCTCAGGACAGGTGGATTATCGCCTGCCGGCTCGGCATCAGGCTCGGCGAGGCCGGCCCAGAGCCGAGCAGTGTGGAACGAGAGCTCCTGGGAGAGGTGATGCACCCTGGAGACAGTGGCATGATCAAGGCCAGTGCCATTTCCGGAAAGGTCGGTTTGAACACCTTGATCGACCAGAGAGGTTTGCAGAGCTCCAGCAGCCAACCTGTTGCCATGACCATCCAGAACAATGGCCGGTTCAAGCGCAGGGCCTCGACTAGGAATGTGACGAAAGTAAGGACTTTCAACAACGAAAGGCTCCGGGTTCCAGGGGTCGTCGTCCCCAGGTAGCCGCTCAAGGGCCCCAACTAAAATCTGGATAATAGCACCCGAGGGGAAATCCGGCAAAACCGTGCCAGGGGCATAGAACTGGCCAGCATAAGCAAGTGTCGGGCACCGCTCCGGCAATTGGCCGCCTTGAAACAGAGTGCGGAGGTGAGCGGAGACAACCTCCCAATTGAAGGGCGAGTGGCCGAAGGTAACGACCGCCGCGGCGCCCCAATGGAGGAGCCAGAACCTGGCCGTAGGAAGAGAGAACATGCTGAACAGTACCCCCCTGCTGGGAGTGAGTGGAACGGAACTCCCCCGGATCCGGAATGTGGTGGAGACGGCACATCAACTCACGGAGCCAGCGGGTCTGATACCCTTGGGGACGCCAAGGCAGGTCGACTGGCTGCGGCACATTTAAGGTCCAGATGCGCATGGTGGACGGTGTGGGAGCAACCTCAGCGACCGGTACTAGTTGATGCGCCTGCGGTGGTTGCATCGCAGCCGCATGATAAGTTAACAAGAGCATTGCCAGATGACCAAGAACCGGGGGCCCTGCTTTAGCTGCAACAATCAGCAGCGTGCCATCGATCACCTGACCAATGAGGCCGGGCAGGGCACGCGAGATCAAAGCTCTAGCCCGATGCGGGCTCGGGGACATTTGTCGGACTTCGGCTGAGGGCTCAACACTAAGAACAACACCGTCGGGCTCAACTGTGCAGAAGAAAAAGGAGCAATGCGAAGTGTAGTGCTGGATGACCGGCCGAAGCAACTCGCACCCAATAGAGTCTCTCAGGATCCACCACGCCACAGGAGAAGGAGGCGCGACGACCAGGTCTAGGACCTGGGGGTTGGAGTCGTACGCAACATGAAGACCGTATTCGCAATCGGGCAGGAAAGCACCCAAGTAGGCGCTGAGGTGCATGTCCATGTGGCGGGCACCAACTCGCATGTGAACCGGACCTTGGCCTGGCAACCACAGATGGATTTGAACCTCAGGCCACGGTGAGGTGCATTCCACATAAGCGCCGAGTTGGGGGGCGGCAACCGCAAAGCCATAAGTCTGACGCCCTAGCTCATGAGTCCAGGAGAGGGTGCAGGTCCGCGTAAAGTCTCGCCGAGGAAGCAGAGGATCATCGGCTCCCACTCGTGAAGTGAGGGCAGTTGACGTGATCGCGAGCTGCACAGATCCCGCATGCATAGCAAAGAGTAGAAACCCCAGCCAAGGCTTACCCTTACTAAGACAAGCTAAGCCAAGTGCAGCGGAATGAGAGGCAGGGGGAGAGGGCGGTGGGCTGGGAGAAGGTGCTGTGCAGTGACGCAGCAGTTGCGAAACGCCCTCGGGCGAATCGTATCCCACGCTAACGCACTTCCTGGTGACGTCCGCAAGATCCCGAGGGTACGGCCAGACCTGATTGTTATCAGAGAGGAAGGTCTGGGGAAGTTCCCAAAGAGAGAGGGAAAGTGCTCGAGTAACAGCTTCCCAGGTCGGGACAGGAGTGCACATTCCAACAAGGCGGCCGCCTTCCCTCAGTGCCCAGACAGTGAAACCTGGAATGCAGGCCACGATACATTTAATGTGCCAAGAATCACACCACAGGCTAACAAGCTCAGACGCAGAATCTGGCACAACTCCTGCCCCACATGAGGACGGGGGTGATTGCAACACAGCGGCCTGGGTGCTAGCCGTGATAAAGGGGGCATTGGTTTGAACACCCACATGTGTGAAAGCTCTCGCCCGAGGCGGGGGCAGCACAGAAGGTTGCCGAATGGCGCGGGGGTGCCCAAAGAAATGCACAGCGTGGCGGCGCGCCCGCGCGAAATCGGCTTGTACATGGACATACCAGAAGTGGCAATCGTCACGGGTAGGGATGGTGGTGCATTCCCAGGTGAGCACAGAGAGACCAAAGGTGCGCAAGCTGCGGAGGAGCCCGGCGGCGGGCCGCCCAGTGCTGAGGAGACTCTCCAAGAAGGCAGAAAAGGAGTCAAATACTCCAGAGAATGCAAGAAAGAGCCCCGGGGCCGTCGGGACAGAGGCGTCAGTTAGACGATAAATGATGCAGTCTTGCCCCGAACTCACTGCAGCAAACGTGGCATGGGGAAGGGCCTCGGTATCGGGAATCTCAATGAAAATATGCTTCCCAGGCAGGACCTGCCGCAGAAGGGCATGAAGAAGGGCGGAATCGACCTCAGCCGCACGAGGCACCTCAAAGGAGAGGACGCCTTCTCCTGAGTGAAGCAGAGAGACGACACGCGTCTCATGCAACCATCGGGACGCAGAAGGGACACCGTGTGGCAGAGTGAAGGCCGAGACATCAAAAGTTTGGGCAGCGGAATTAACCACAACCTTAATAACATCACCCTGTCTAAGCCTATGGGCCGAACCCTTAAGGATTTGAATGTCGGTCGAATCTGCTGCACCTTGCGCGGCTGCCAGGACCTGTTCGGCAGAATAATCAAGGGGGAGCTCAACGCATACGATATCAACCCCAACATCAAAAAGCACGGTCAGCGTAGAGCTCCTGGGTGGCAGGGAGACTAAGTGGACCGCATCGAGTGTAGGTCCCGCAGATGCAGCAACGATATGGGGGCGGCCGAGCTGGATAGCTCGGCGGTAGAGTTCCGCAGAGGACTCTCTGGCACTAGCTGTGTTGGCGAACTCAAGGCGAACAAAGGAGCCCGGGACCCACAACCGGCAAGTGATAGAGAAGCTCACCCCTGAGAGCGGGAGCGTCTGCCACAGCGTCCCATCACCGAAGTCCCCAACTTGTAGCCAAGAGGCCTGAAGATGAGCGTGGACCCCCGCAGGGGCAGCAACATGACGGTCGGGGGCTCTGGAGGCTGCAACCACAAAGGCATGAGGGGAAGAGGGCTCGCTACGGGTCTGAACAGCGGTACTAGACCACACTAACAGGAGAAGGGGAGTAAAACTCCACACAGAACATGCCCCGTGGCCGAGCGGAAGGTCATGAATGAGCCAAATGCCGATCAAGATGTGCTGCATCCACATAGCGGAAGACACCACGGCTGACCCGGCGGAGCTGGGTTCGGCAGCCGGCTCTGGAGGGCTTAAACCTGAGGGAGCCAGGAAAGCTTCAGGCGAAATCCCAGTGCATGCTGGAAGTGTGGCAGCGCGGGCAGGTGAAGGCAGCAGGGTATGCTGTAGCGCCGAAATGGTGTCCGACGTATCCGGGCCATCCCAGCCTCCAACCTGCTCCTCTGACGAAGAGGAGGAGTCCTGACGGAACACATGTGGGAAGAACATGATGACAAGGGGAAAACTCCCTGAAATAACCTGATCAGGGAGAACTGCCAACTCCCTGTGCAGCAGACCAAAACCCCCTCTAGCACATTGTTCGACCCATTCAAGGGGGAGGCTATTACGTTCACGGGTCGAGGCAGCGGCAACAGCCGCGACAGCTGTGACTGGCGGGGTAAGACACACCGTAGTAAGACGCCATCCCACAGGCCGGAAATCCAAAATGCACGGCACTTCGTCGCCCACGCAGTGGATTTCCAGAAACTGGACAAGTGGCAGGGAAGGAAGAGGATGCCAAATGCGCATGATCCCTCCAGTGGCACTGGCTGAGGCCCGAGTCGAGACGATGCGCCTAAATGTGGCTGCGTCCGCAAAGACCGGGGCTTCGACATAGACCAGGCCATTCGGGGTGATGAGGATGGCCTGGTTGTGTGAGTGACCTGGGAAAGCCTCTTGATTGAGTGGAGCGGAGGGCAAACTGACCTGCATGGTCGAAAACAGTGACAGCGGAGGGTCAAGTGAGGCACCTATAGGCCCTTCCAGCGCTCCCGTAGACGGCCCGAGCTGGAATTGCAGAGTGTCAACATCTTGCAAGAAAAGGGGCTGGGACACAAGAGTCAACCAGCCCCACGGGCATCGAGCAAGGAGAAGGTCGACCTCAGTTTGCAAGGATTGGGCGGAAAGGGCAAGTTGGGCAATGGCTCTGCAAGTAGAGTCACGAGGGCACTGAAGCATACAGATACGGCCTCCGATTTGACGCAGATCCACAGGCAGCCACACTTGTCGCCAGGAGCAGGCAACGGGGGTCAGAAGAATTTGCTCACCTGGCAGTCCTGGGAGGACTCCCCGAACAGCAGAGGCAGAGAACACCCCAGAGGGAAAGCCCAGCGAGGCAGCCAGCCTGGCGTGAAGAAGAGGACCGTGCAGCCATTCATCAACCAGGAGAGGAATGGGACACGGTTCCAGGATCGGAGCTCCAGGAGGCGTCCCCACAAAGACGGAAAGATGCCTTCGGTTCCGATCTGTGCGTGGAAGAAGCAGATTCCCCGTACGCCCGACCGGATAGACCTCGCACATCTCCTCCACGGTCGGGGTGGGGAGGACAGGTCCGGTACTGAGAACAGGCAGGCCTTCGTGAAATCCGTGGGCATGGAGCTGCACAGCTTCAGGGGAATGCATGAAGCAAGAAGAGACAACCGCGACCCCAAGGTTGAGAGTAGCCCCATCAGCAACTGAGAAGTACAGCAGCAGCAGCGTCACGTGCAGGCCTGGGGCTGCATGCCTCTTAGGGCGAGCCTTAACGCAATAACGTGATCCTTGAACTTTGCGACCAGCCAGTCGGGAAACCGAACAAAATGCATGGTCATGTTCCCATGAGGAGGACGTAAGAGAAAGGCAGGCCCAAATCAAGGCCGCGGCAGATGAAGAGCAATGCTGCCAGTGCCTGTATGCCCAAGTAGGGCCACATTGCCTCAGGAAGTCGGCCTGCACGGCAAGGCATGAGCACCAACGGCAAGGAAGCCACTCCAAGACACAGCGGAGAGTGCGGACCAGAGCAGGGTGGAAGGCCAAAAGCTCACTAGTAACCGCACATAGTGCCATAGGGAAGGGCTGGCAGAAGGAGGCCGCTACCCACCACGCAGAAGCGGAACAGGTACTGCCGAGCTGCCACGCACGATACCAAGAAAGCTTGGGACCGTAGGCCGAAAGAAAAAGCGACGTGACTACACTGACTCTACGCAGGGCTATACACAGTAGCACACAGCGTCCGAGGAAAAGGCAGACCGTGGTAAGAGAAACTTTCGACCAAACGAAGTCTCTGTTACCACAGCCCGCTGGGACAGCCGTGTCGGAAAGCCATTGCTGCGCGACAACATCAGAGGTCACTCGAGCTCGTTCTGGCAGGTGTCCGGTCCAACTGGCCTCATAGGCGAAGGCATGCGCAGCAAAACTTGAACATGTGCATCCATTGAAGCTTCCTTTGCCACAAACCCGCGCAATGGCACCCCTGCTTCCAGGAGAAGGTCCGGAAACAACCATTCCTGAGCGGTGGAGGGGGCGTATGCAAACGGGTCCCTGAGGTTCCCATTGGACAGGAGCGCAGCCACCAGCAGGCCCTGACGAACCTGTGGCAGAGCATTGGCGCATCCCCGTACACTGTGTAGAAATCCCTGCAGAGATAGAAAGAGCGATTGCAGGTCGGCATGAGCCGGGTCCGCCACAGCATTTTCCAGAGCAGTCCAGACCGATTCGGCAGTGCGTAGAACCACATCCTGCGCTTGAGCATCCAGAGTGAGCTGCATGGCCTTGTCTTGCTGGGGGCAGCTGCTGACTTCGCCCACCAAGTCGGCTCCGCTGTCCACAGCGAAGCGAAGGAGAGCCAACCATGACACAACCCAGGCACTTGCTGTTGCAGTGGCCGGCAGTAATTCTGGGTCGTCGTCGGCAACAGCGGTCTGGGCATCGCGTTTGAGGCCTTCGGGGGTGCGTCCTGTGGCTTCTCCAGGCCACGGTGCACCCTCCAGGTCCCGACGCGGGCTTTTGGAGGGCCGGTCGACATTGCCTCCGCTGCGTTTCCGCCATCGGCCACTTCGCTGGCCGTCCATTCCGGAAGGGGCCTGGCTGGATGTGTTGCCCAAGGGCCCAAAGCTCATCTCCGAGCTGTGGTCGGCAGCGAGGTCTCCAGCGGGCTGCTGAGGGCCAGAAAACATGGGAACATCCGAAGATGGTCCTGCTGCAGCTTGCATCCCTAGAAAGGGGCCACCTCTGTGCACACCTGCCAGCCCTGGCACTGGAACTTGAGTCCCCGAAGGCATGGCCAGGGTCGTGGAGAAGGCTCGAAGAGCTGCTGCCAAACGCTGAACCTCCACCACTTGGCCCTCGGACCAAACTGGCCCCAAAGACTGGATCGCACGGTCGAGCTGCTCCTCCGTGGTCACGGAGGGTTGTGCCGCCATGACTTGGCGCATTTCTTCCACTGCAGCGACTGTATCCTCGTCCACCTTCCGGCTGAGAGCATCTACACGGTGGGCAAGGCCCAAAAGATGCTGTCCCATTGTAGACAGCCATGCCAGCAGCGCATCCTGAAGGTCCTTCTTGGCGCGGACATTGCCGTTCAACCGCCTCGACAGTCGGCCCAGGGCGTTTGCACTTCGCTGGGCTAACTGTTCGACGGTGGCATTCTCGGCAGTAAAGGCTGTCTGGCTCCACAAGTCCTGTGTAGCCCTGGTCGCGATCGATTGTAAGGATTGGACCATCGAAGGGGGCAGTCCAAATTCGATCTTTGTGACCTGCGGATTGTCCGCTTTCTCTTTGCCCTTTCCTGGGCCGCCCTTCTGTGATGACTGACTGCCAGCACCTCCTTGCTTGGGAGCCATGCTCCCGTGGTGGGTCGCAAGCAGAAAAAGCTGCGCCGCTGAGGAGCGCCCTTTTCTCGCGGCCTTCCTGGCCTTGTGCCTTGCCCGCCTTTGACGCCGATGCCAGGCGGGACTGCGTGGGCGTCTCAGCGCCGTTGTCGTGCCCAAGCCAAAGCAGTCCCAATCCCAGCAATAAAAGCGGTAGAATCGGGAGGTACCTCGCCAGGACAGTCATAAAAGGCCGCACGGCCCGAGGGTTGGCTCAGTTAAGGCAGCAACCCAGAGCCCAGAATATCACCAGATACCAGGGTAAAATAACACGCCAGAGAGCGCCTCTGGCAGTGGTCAGCTTAGTGAAAAGCAGTGACCAAAAGAAGGGGCCAAGCAGGCCCTGGGCGAGCCCTCCAGAGGCTGCGCCAGTCGCAGTTCACAAGGAATGCTGGGGTCCGGAATGGCAAGAGCGGGCAAGCAAAACTCCAAACGGAGAGACTAGCCGCTACCTTGCCTCGAGCCAGGACGCCTGCTACCCTCAACCCTAAATCCTGTAACCATAAACACCATGAGCCCTGCGCCGCACGGGTGTAGCAGTCTAAAGTTGCTGACGACTAGCCGCTTCTGCGATGTGTGCGCCATGAGTAAAGATTTAGAGCTAGCCGCTGTTCCCGTCTCATTGCAGCCACGGTGCTGTCGTACAAGGCCACCCAAAACCTGCTTTCCGAAAACACAGCGGTTGGGAACATCGTCTGCTCGTTCGTGCCGACTCCAGATATTCGGAAGTTGCATTTTCTTCTGGGACTCTTGCATGCATTATGCACTTCCTGCATGCCGAAAGATCGAACCTACAGAGCCCCTGCTTCTAAAATGCGCACGCGGACTTCCTATACCCGGAACCCCCAATCCAAACGCCTAGAACCCCAAACCTCTACACCCTCAAACCTGAGGTCCAGAATGGAAGCCGAATAAAACATACTCTGATCCTGAGTACAAGTCACTTTGAACGAAATCCCCCCTTACAATAGCTGCCAGGCTGCGGCGAACTGCACTTCTCTGGTGCCAAGTTGACATCCGCTTTCACTTTGCAAAGATACCTGTTCGTAATCTATTGCCAGGACATCTTTTTTTGAGAGGGGGGTTGTGTTCCTTACGGGATCTTGCAGTGCATCCTCACCAGAATGGTAACTAATGACCTACTAACCTAGGTTGTATCCACTTGTATCCACACAACTGTCCATATCTCCGGTATATCTCTCTGAAACAATTTTTTGGAGGATGAACTGAACTGAGGTGTACTAGGCGCTGGCTGAAAGAACATTTAAAGGAGCAAGGGACCTGATTCCATCCACCCAGCCGATCTCGACTGTGAGGTGCACGGCCGAGATGTGACTATTCTCCTCAGTATATATATATATATATATATATAACCAGGAGAGTTTGCGCAACATGTTCAGATCCAAGAACTACAGCACACAAACAGATCCAAAAGGATCAAAAGCCTTCTACTTCCAGACCCAGTCTCTTCGTTGGAGTGCTTCTCCGGGTCCCTTGCCGCAACGAGAATCACAGGCAGGCCCCTAAACCCTAAACCCTAAGCCCCTAAACCCTAAACCCTAAGCCCCTAAACCCTAAGCCCTAAGCCCCTAAACCCTAGACCCTAGACCCTAAACCCTAGACCCTAAACGCTAAACCCCTAAACCCCTAAACGTTCAGAATCTTCGGGGTTTTGGTTGCTGCCAAAACCGAGCTGAAAGGCGAAGAGCTTCTGAGCAACTAGGGCTTTGCAGAACGGAGGGTTTAGGGTTTAGGGTTTAGGGGCTTAGGGTTTAGGGTTTAGGGTTCTTTTGTTTACCAGGCTGCCTAAAGTGGTTTTTGCAAACCGATCTTCGTGTTTCTGCTGGGCTTGTAGGGTGGTTGCGACAGCGTTTCTTTCAGACTTAAGGCTTGATTCAAGGGACGTTACACTATGGGTCGCCCTATGCTTGACGTGTTTAGACAGATCCATAAGTAAAGGCTCATGAGGCAGTAAGGGCTTTTAGACTTCATTTTCAATCCCAATCCTTGACAAACACCTTTCAATACGACATCTTACACCCTCGACTTCCCAAGACACTAAAGCACAAAGGGAGGCTGAATACGATCAGACAGCCAGCGCCAAGTCACACTCGACACTCCACCAACAACTGCACCGACGCGGCGTCCCGCTCTTCAATGGCCTTCGCTTTGGAGTCAAGGGCTTTGGGACCGTTTGTTCATGCTTTTATATGGGGTTTCTGAAAGCAAGGGACCCTTATAATATAGTACCCCAAATAGTAGGATCCTTATTATAAGGACCCCCAAATAAGGTACCCCTAATTTTCGGAGACTCCCATACTATGCCACGCTTAAGCTCTTCTAGGGTTTTGCAAGCGTGGTTTCTTCCAGTGCCCTGAAGTCTTGATGAAACGTTTGCAAGTTTCGATGGGGTTCTCCAATGAGTAAGAGGTTTCGGCTTGACGAGCGTATGAATTGAGGCATACCGGCGGCTCGAATGGCGTCGGGGTTTAGGCCAAGTCTACCTTAACTAAACTACCTAACTCCTACAAACACTTGTCACTTGTACCCTAAACCCTCAACCCCAAACCCGAAACCCTAAACCCCGAACCCGAAACCAAAACCCCCAAACCTGAAACCCTAAAGCCCAAACCCGAAACCCTAAACCCCAAACCCTAAACCCAAACCCGAAACGCTAAACCCGAAACAATAAACCCTGATAAGCCGCTTAAACCTTCGAAGTCCACGGCCGAGTGGCTCTGAACAGAAGATCGTCCAACTCGCTCCAGGGTTCCACCTCCCGGTCTCCGGTCACTAAAGGTTTGCTACCTCAAGGGTTAAGTAGTTTCGGGTTGCCGAGTGTTCGAGGGAATCTAAACCTTAGCCTTTTGGGGTTATAGTACCGCAGAAAAGTTGAAGAGCACCTACCCTACTGCTACAAGGTTGGATAGTATGAGAAAGTACAATGTAACTTAATATGGTCGAATACCGACTTTTTTCGTACACTATAGTATGTTATGGCGTACATATTAACATCTACTTTCGTATCATATAGCAAGTTCGAACATGCTATAATATTGAGGGGTCTCCATGCTGCATCCAGGGGCGGCCTCGCGGATGTCTTTCTCGCTGTCGCCTCTGTCGTGCTCGCCCCCAATGTAACCATGCCCTGACGTTGAGCTGACGCCTGTGGGCTCCTTCTGCCAAAGGTGGCTCTGCAGCGCCTCTTCCAGCTCCACCTTCTTGTGGTGCTCCTGCTAGCAGTGGTAGTCGTAGTCGTAACAGCAGAAGATGGTAGTAGTAGTAGTAGTAGTAGTAGTAGTAGTAGTAGTAGTAGTAGTAGTAGTAGTAGTAGTAGTAGTAGGAAGTAGTAGTGGAAGTTTCGTCATGTAGGAACATCTTATGAAGCTTCAAAATTAAGCTGCGTTTTTGCAAACTCCAGCTTCCGATTCTGGACTTGCTCTTGGGAGGGTGGGGGCGTGGGAAGGGGGGGGATGATGACGACATTGTTACTGTTACGCAGACACCCCGAACAACCTCTCCAGAAGAGCCGTTTTGCTCGGTATTTACTGTACTTTCGTGATGCCGGACCATCTTACATATATGGTCACCAAACGTACCTCTGGACTTTGCAAACTCGACATTGGGCTTTGCGAAGGCTTTCGGCGAAAGCTCGAAATTGGTTGGAGATTTAAAGTACTTTGGTCATGTCGTAGTCCATTGCTAACCACCGTTCTTTAGCACCGTTGTTGCTTCCGGGGGGGGTGGGGGGATGTGTATGATGACTTACATGCAGCCTCTCGGACCACATACCACTTTAAAACCAAAGCCTCCTACGCCGAGGTCTGGGCTTTAAGGGTGTTGGCGAGCCCCTCTACATACAGCTGACTTCTTTGCTTTTGATGTTTAGAAGATGTTGCGCTTCAGGTTTAACATAAAGGAATGTTTAAACCTTCTTGGCAGCACCTGCATTTTGCACGGTATTTACATCGTTGTCGTACTCTCCGACCACCTGTTGTTTGGCAGTCTCTCCCCCCTCGAGTTTGCAACTCCAGTTGCTGTTTCAGTTTTGGCGCCGGGGCGTCTGCAACTTCACCGGCTGTGACAGTTAAGCCAAGTGAGCCTCGGCAACTTCTGCAGATGTCATAGATAAGGAGCCTGAGCCCCTACATCTGTGACAGTTAAAGCAAGTGAGCCTCGACAATGTTTGCAGCTGTCACAGATAGGGGGCCTGAGCCCCTGCATCTTGTGCAACTGTCATGCTCGTTGATGATGATGATGGGTTAAAGCACCAGGTGGTTGGTAAAGGGGGGGATGGCTGCTAGTAAAGTTGTAGTAGCAGTAGTAGTAGCAGTAGTAGTAGTAGTAGAAGCAGTAATAGTAGCAGTAGTAATAGCAGTAGTAGTAGAAGCAGTAATAGTAGCAGTAGTAGTAGCAGTAGCAGTAGCAGTAGCAGTAGTAGTAGTAGTAGTAGTAGTAGTAGTAGTAGTAGTAGTAGTAGTACGAAAAGCGCATTCATTAAGAAATCGTTGGGAGCAAGAAATGAAACCCTGAATTGTTTGTGATTTCTTACCCAGGGTCCTAAAACCTTGCGCAACAGGCATGGATACATACAAGTGATTGATACGTGAAACAGACAGTCATCCAGGAGTGTAACATTTGGTGTTTCACCCTTCCACCTCCCCCCCAAACAAAACCCTCCCCTCCGCAGCCCTCCCATGCAGCCCTGCCGGGTGCCCCCCTTTGAGCCATTCAACGGCGCGTGTTTTTGGAGGAGCACGGCGCGCTTGGGGCCAAAACGACGCGCCGTTGAACTCTGGCCCCCGCACGCCCCCCAAAGCCTGTCCCCACAGCCAAAGTTCAACGGCACGTGTTTTTGGAGGAGAACGGCGCGCTTGGGGCCAAAACGACGCGCCGTTGAACTCTGGGCCCCGCACGCCCCCCAAAGCCTGCCCCCAGTTCAACGGCGCGTGTTTTTGGAGGAGAACGGCGCGTTTGGACCCAAAACGACGCGCCGTTGAACTCTGGGCTGCGTGCCAACCTCAAACAGCTTATTATAGAAATCCCGAATTAGAAATATTCGGGGTCTGGCCCAACCCATGCCCATTTCTTATTGAAAGGTTCGACCGTAGTAGTAGTAGTAGTAGTAGTAGTAGTAGTAGTAGTAGTAGTAGTAGTAGTAGTAGTAGCAGCAGTAAAGAAATAGCTCTTGTGCTGCTCCTGGTAGACGAAACCGCAGGTCTTGGGATGCACAAACTCTTGGGGCATTCGGAGTTCAGCCGTTTGCACACGCTTTGTCACCCTGTGTTTGGAAGCCAGCCACGTCACAAATTCGCAACCAAAGGCCCAACAACTGGATCATGCGGGCGGCTGGTGAACGCAAGGACACAACTCTTCGACCTGTCGTTAGGCATGCAATCTGCGGGGCGTCCTCCTCCTCAAACCCTGCGCGATGAATTTGCAATGACGCGAATGACCTCACGTGTAGTGCTCTGCAGGGTTACTGTGTCATTTCAAGAGTCTATGCGCGAGAAAGACACAACAACAAATTAACTATCTTCTTCGAACATGAAGTTGTGTTCTATTTCGATCGTCTACTAGCGGTTTGGTTGCCAGTGCGGCTGTGAAGGGGACTCTTTCTGTGTAATTGCAAAATCTTGCTTAGAGTGTCGGCGGAAGAGGACTTAGGTCATGGCAATGTTGCATCGACTTGAGAGTACAGGCAACACACAGCAGTCACAGCAGTCTTGTCCGTTGGTTGCTCATGTTGCTGCAAGGTGTTATGAGTCAGTCTTTATGTTGCAAGGACTATGTATGCAACACTATAGGTGAGCACAGGTTCCCGTAATTTCGGTCTGCGAGCAAAATTGGTCGGCCGATATCCTAGCCGGCTCTTGGGCTGATAGGTTCTAAAGTTCAGGAGTTCAGGGCTTCATGTAGGGGCCTTAATAATTCAGAGTAGGATGCCTCTAAAGGATTCTTAAAAGGGGTACTCCAAAGGTTCCGAGATGGGGGTTAATGTAGGGCCCTTAATAGTTAGAACTGGGTTCGGGGTATATTCTGCTATAGTTGCAATAAGGAACCACCAAACTCACATTCTAACCATGAAGGCCACTATCGTAGGGCTTGGGGCTCGAGATTCTGAAGCGCCCGCAGTGCTGGACGATAAGGGCAGGAGCCTCAACCAGTCGTTCTCATAATATAGTCTGTTGGTGACCAGCGAAATGAAAACTTTCGACAAGTCTAGCATGGCTGCGGGGTACAAGATACGATACTTACTTAAGCTGAACCTTGTGAAGGTAAGACTCCGTGCCTATAGCACAACACAACTGACATGAGAAGCACTAAGAAACCCTAAAGCTGCTTCTGTGCTCCGCTGCCAGGGTGCCCCTGCGACATCGTCCTGCGGCACTGGCCAGAAAGCTCTGAAGCAGAGATCCCTTGAGCCCTCCTGGTGGGAGTATAGTATAGCACAGTATAGTCAGATTAAAAAAACGGCATAATAACATATAAATTAAATATATATATATACATATATATGTATATATATATATATATATACGTATGTATGTATGTATGTATGTATGTATGTATGTTTATGTGTATATGTATATGATATATGTATATGCTGTCAGGGCACAGGGCTTTAGGCGCCAGTGCAGGGTTTACAGCTAATTAGAGCCAGGGAGACATCTAGTGACAGCGCCGCCACTCCGTCTGTAACTTCTTCCTTAGGTACGGCCCCCATGCAGTAAGAGTCTATAGTTGGGCTACTATTGAGGTCCGACTATATCTATATTATGAATATTATTCAACTATTCCTGAGTGGGGGCCGTACCCAATTTCTTCCACTATACCCGACCTGAGCACTCGGTGCATCACAGGCACCGCAACCGGCATGGAAGCCTAGCTCCTGCAAGCCCTAAGCCTCAACCTCTAGAGACTCAAGGCACCGAACCTTCAACAATAAAGCCTTAACACCCCCAGTCTTGAGACAAAGTATGAAACCCGACGCTTTAACCCCTTGTGAACTGTTGCTGACATCCGGCGATGACAATCTGAAGCTGAGCTTGAAGCCCAGTCCAAACAACCCTGAGACTTGAAAGTGAGAACCCCAGCCGTCAATTCCGAAACCCTGAACCCTGAAATGATAAAACCCTGCGACAACAGACCTTAGACGACAAGCCCGATGGCCATCGACAGCACAAATTCCGAAAGATTTTTCGGTAGAGACGTGAGATCTGTCCTCCAGCGCACCAGTCACAGCGCGATTGGCAAGGCGAATCATGGAACTGGCAGCAAATGCCAAGCTCATCCGCGTCATCCAAGGCTAGCAGATGATTAAGGCACACCACCACGCTAAGGCTTACGGGCTTAGGGTCTAGGGTATATGAGGGGTTGTGGCTTAGGGCGTACTTGGGCTTAGGAAGTTTGTAGGTTGGGCTTTGGGGGCAGAGACCTGGGGGGTTGGCAGCTGACTTTCGCATATGTCGACAACCTTGTGAGGCTTGTCTGAGAGGATCCCGGCGGCAGTAGAGAAGTGGTTTAGGGTTTAGGGTTTGAGGCCTTGGTCACATGGAGGCTTACGTGCGGATTAAGGCCTGTCCGAGGACGTGCATACTAGTAATTGGGCGCAATGTGACGTACTGGGTGCTGCCGTCAACCCTCTAAGCCCCCTATGTAAACCCTAAAGCCCCAAAAAAAGCCCTTAAGCCCCAAAAGCCCTCAACCTTAAAGGCCCTGAACCCAAAACCCTAAACTCATGAACCCTAAAGGCCATAAACCCTAAACTCATCAACCCTCCAGGCCCTAAACCGTAAGCTCATAAAAAACCCCTCAGCCAAAAGTAGAATATGGTTTGGGGGCCCCTTCTGCGATGATTATAATAAGAAGGAGCCCCCAAAAAAGACGAGGTAATTTTTAAGGCCCCTATCTTATAGAACCCTACTATAGATCCCTTATCAACCCCTTATAGAACCCTTTAAAGGAACCCTATAGGTAATTATTAAGGCCCCTATGTTCCCTAAAGCAACAAACAAGTTTCGGCTCAGAGCATAGAGGCTCCCAGATCCGAAGAGTCGCCTTAGAATGGGTTCTTGTTCTAGGATACCCAGTAAATAAAAAGGCCTTTCTTTTTGGCATTGGGTAACTTTATAAGGAACCTAGGACTAAAAAAAGGGAATAAGGGTACTACTGGGCATCCTAGTGTTAAGAGATTTAGCTTGAGGTACCATAGTAGGGCTCTATAAGGGCTCCTTTGAGGGATTAATAAGGGCTCCTTTAAGGGATTTAAAAGGGCTCCTTTAAGGGATTTATGAAGGGCCCTTAAATCCTTTAAGGGATTTATAACGGCTCCTTTAAAGGATTTATAAGGGTAAGGGCCCTTTCGGGGTTAAACGTTTCAGTTTAAATTGCCATAATGAGGAAGCCATGTTGTTTGATATAGATCCCTGTTATGGCAACTGAAAAAAATCCCTTAACAGGAACCCTGGACAACTCGCCTTAGAGCTGCTATGGTTTGAGGAACCCGAAGCGAGGATCCGACTCCTTTGGGGCTTAGGGTTCTGGGCCATTTAAGCTTTGAGGTTTGGGGTACCTTAGGCTTTGGGGTTTTAGGGCTTCAGGGGCTTTGAGGGGTTTTGGGGCTTGAGGTTTCCGCTTCCCCCCCACCCGGCGAGCTGTGCTGAACTTGGGAGCTTCATTACACTACGGGACGGCATGCAATGACATCCGTATGCGAATGAGTCCAGCAACTCGAAATTCGTGAGGGTTCGGCGTTTAGGTTGGCGGCCTCTTTGCTTGTTGACGACTAGAAAACAGGGTGGATCTGCTTAGGACCATCTCTCCTGGGGCCCTCTTGGCATGCCGACGATTCCTTGCAACTCGCAGCCCAAACATTGCTAGATGTGGGAGTTTCCGAAAATTAGGGGTACCTTATTTTGGGGTCCTTATAAAAAGGATCCTGCAATAATTTAAAGTACCCTATTAGGGTCCCCTATTTTCGGACACTCCCATGTTGCTACATACACCTCCAAAGGCAAAAGGGATTCTCCGGAGGCCCCGTGCCCAACTCCCCAAATCCCGTTTTTTGCACAGCCACGCTGACCGCTCTGGACTACTGATGTAGACTGGGCTCTTGTTGTTCTACGGATGTCAAAGGGGCTCTGAATAATGTTTGTCCTGTGTCGAGCCTTGGTGGGTTTTGTGGGTGTCACTGTCAAGGAACTGGCTCCCAGTTGCCAGAAAAGGCAGACCTAACAGACATGTGCATGCACGTCCTTGTTGATAACTCCGAACCTTCCTTGTCACGTAACTTTATGTCAGTGAATTGAAACCCTAAATCCTAAACCCCAAACCCTAAACCCTAGATTCCTGACAAGGGCAAGAACCCAGTAGACGGTTGTCATTGCCCCCTGGAGGGCCTTGAGGCTTCTTTCCCTAGCTCATCTCAGGTCGCTCCGGGAGCCGCCGCAGCCTGTCTCAGTTGGACGCCTAAACCCCGAACCTTACACTCTAAGCCCTAAACCCTAAGCCCTAAACCCTAAACCCTGAACCCTAAACCCTGAACCCTAAGCCCTAAACCCTAAACCCTGAACCCTAAACCCCCCAAAACCCTAAACATCAACGAGCCCATTTGTAGTCAGGAACCCCTGCTGTTCGACTCTTGAGCTTGTTGTGGAATCCTCACCACTTTTCCTAGAGCCTGTTGTTCAAGATAACCCCCCCCCAAACCCAAAAGCTGAAACCCAAAACCCTCAAAAGCTTAGGGTCTGGCAAGGCCGAGTTTAGGGTGATAAACCCCAAGCCCAAAACCGTCAAAAGCTTAGGGTCTGGGACGGCCGAGCTTACAGTAGAAGTTCAAAAGCTGGAAACCCAATAGCCTCAAGCCTTAAGAGTCATGTATGGGGAATCCCAGCTCTATTTGGCCAAAATCCGGCTTCCAACTTTATGGGGTTTACTGTAACCTTTTTTGGTTAGTGTAGTCCCTATATAGCCCCTATATAACCAAAAAGGGTGTAGGCGGGTAGAGTTTCGGACTTCAGGAACTCTCTGGCCATCCGACGTCGTGCCAGAGTTGGTGTACATCCCTATGACCGCCCGGTTTAGGGGTTTAGGGGTTTAGGGTTTAGGGCTTTCGGGGTTTAGGGGTTTAGGGTTTAGGGGTTGAGGGGTTTAGGGTTGAAGGTTTAGGGGTTTAGGGCTTTACGGTGTGCAGGCAATCAGAAAAAAAAACCGCCAGCCCGTAAATTACAACTACACCTAAAACCACTGAAACCTCACTTGGATCCCTAACAGGGCAGTATGAGCTATGCTGTCTGCTCCATAATTCAGGGCTTCTGGGCTTGCTGAGAAGCCGGATGTCTGTCCTCGGATGTCAGGGTACATGGCATCGACCACACAGACACCCAATACGTTAATCGGTGCTAACTGCTTCTTGAGCACAAACTGATGGTGTCCAACTCAGAAACTTAAATGGTAAAGTTATGTAATGCTACATCCTGTTGAGGCTCCCATAAACAACAGCCGTTCGCAAGACTGCCAGAAGATCAAGAGGATCTGCAAAGCTTTTGTTTACATTTACAAGAAACATAAAAGTGTGGAGGGTTTCGTAGCTTCCGCCACAGCACAGGGCACGGTCTGTTTTCAAGCAGGCTGGCCGCGTCTTACCTTGAGGCGCCGAGTTGTAGAACCCTCAGGGTCGGATCCAACCCGGAAGCCTTAGGTGACCCGGGGCAAAGATACGTCCGGGTGCATGGGAAAATTGGCCGTGGGCCGTGGATGTGCGGTGCTGACGGCATGGCTGTAGGCCGCTGACCCGTTGATGCGATGCGAGTTTCGGGGCTCTGGGCCTGCTCAAGAGTTTACGGTTGAGGGTCGCGTTGCATCCGTTATTCTGGGTGGGTTTTTCGATGGCACTCTGCTGTCTTCCTGTGCAGGGTCTCCATCCTAGCTGCACGGCCAAAGCTTGCTGTGAATTTCTACATGTTGTTACTGAGCCGCGCTTGGCAGGAGGAAGTTTAGACTTTGCTCAGGGCTACGATAGTTTAAAGATCTGTTGGCACGTGCCGAAGTCCTCGACCACAGCTTTTGCAGCACTGCCCGTCAAAAGGATTGCCCTTAAGGCATCCGAAGCAGGTGTTACATCAGCCACAGCCGGGCAAAGCAAGGAAACCATGCAGGGCGTAAGAGCCAAGGTGTTATACCCCGTTGACAATCATGCATCTATAGTTTTCTGTGGTACCTACAGTATCTGCTATGGCATATACAGTCTGTATATATATATATATATATGCAAACACAGTACATATAGAATGCGACAGCCCCTGTGTTTGAAAACAAGGAGTCGCAAGCGATTGCCGCCCTTCCAAGAGGCTCTTAACAGTCGCGCGACCTTCTTCAAAGTCCGAGGGCTCAAATGCGTGGAGGTGGGTGTTTCAACGTATTTGTATCTGCAAACCTCTAACCCAACACCGACTCGACAATCACCTCCATGCTCCGATGCTTCTGCCAGAAACGTCCAACGCCGAGCCGGCGTCGAGAACTTTGCGAATCGTTACATCGGTTGCTCACTAGCCTCCTTCTGATGTGGGTTCTGTCGCCACGAGGCGTATTGGTAGTCGTGGGACCGTTGCAAATCAAAGATACAATATGGTCTTCATGCATTTGGTTCGGGGCGGCCACTTGTCACCAATGCTGAGAAATTCCGAGGGTCGCAAGCGAACTCAGTTTCAAGAGTCGCTGGCAACGAAAGGCCTGCGCAAGATCTTCGCTTAGGTCGACGTGAGAAGTGTCTGGGCAGAATCCTCTCTGGGTGCTCCCAGACACTCTGGCCAACACCACTGCGTGGGACGGCCGAGCTGTCCGAAAAAGAGCTGCCTTCCTCCTGCAGGAAACATTGAATAACCAGTATCGGGACGCCAAGATAGCTCCACTATCAGGGAACCTCAATGGGACAGCCGCAATGCCTAGATCGACGCGGACTCTAACAGCCTTTTTCTGCCTACGGCACTATATCAGTTGGGATTAAGAGCTCGCGAGACGTTTGTCCAGAACCTTGAGGAAGATTGACGTTCGGATTCTCATTGGACATTCAGAACCTGACGCCTCGGGCTGACGGTTTAGGGATTTGGTGTACGGTCTCGAGTTGAGGACGTCTCGGGCTTGATGAAGCTGTGCATCTGGGTCTTGGATTTGGGGCCTGCGCTAACTCAACACGACCTGAAAGACCACGGCTTTCGATCCGGCAGGTTTACAAAGAGAGCAATGCCTAATTCAGCAATATTGATGGAATTATGAGCCCTGAACAGTCCTTGGAATGGAAAGATACGTTGGCGCATTTGGGTTCAGGATACTTAAGCATCTGGGACGGCTTGCGGACTTCTGCGACTCGATAAACCACAACACACACAAACGGCACAGAAGCAAATGCTTCCTCGCTATCGAACAGACACACGGCACAAGCACGCACGATGAGAGGTTGTCATGCTCAACAGTTCCGGGATAGAAACCTTGTAGACTTTTCTGTATTCTCTGTAACATCCGGCTGATAGGAGCCTTAGCAACTAGAGTAGGGTTTTGGGGTATCTTAGACTAGACTTGTAAGAAAGAACCCCCCAAGAATAGTATAGGTGATTATCAATACCCCTATACTAAATCCTTGCAGTAGCCCTTCTAGTAATCCTTATAGACTACTCAGGTTCCTTTAAGGGTCCCCTTTAAGGTTCGGTTTAGGGGTTCCTTTAAGGGCCCGTACACTATACTGCACACGCAGGACCTGGGCTCCTCCAAAGCCGTAGCCCTACCCTGGACCCCAGACATTATTCATAGGCCCCAAAGTAGTTCCTTTTTGGGACTACCTTATAGTGTTTTTTGTAGTTCCTTTTTGGGACTACCTTATAGTGTTTTTTGTATGAGCCCCAAAAAGGAACTACTTTGGGGCCTATGGGTAAAGCCCTACAGAAATCTTCTTAACGCAATGCCTGAAAATCCCGACGCACGCGGCTGTCCTGCTTGGGAGGAGGGTGTAGTTGCGAAGCTCTTCATTCCTTCCGAGACTTTAGGGTTTTCCGAGACTTCAGGGTTTGAGCATTTAGGATGTAGCGCAGTTTAAAACTTAGACTTAGGGCTTGCGGTATCCTGGCTCTGTTGAAACAGGGCCGTTTTGTGCCAGAGAGTTGCAGAACTGTACCAGGCCCCTCCTCGCCTCGAGTCCAGCAGAACCGAATCCGTATGATAAGGACGCCGAAACCCAGAGACTCCAATACCCCTTAATTAAGGAATATACCTTAAATCATATTAGGGACCCTACTATGATTTAAGGTATATTCCTTAATTATGGGGTATTGGAGTCTCTGGGAATAAGAGTTCTCGCGTACTCTGAACAAAACCCTAACTCCTTAGACCCTGAACCACAAAACCGTGCGCGGAAAGCTCCAAACCCTAACAGCCCTGAGCTCCCGAGCCCCGAAGCCCTCACGAGAGCAAGCCGCCTTCTCTCGCGCAGGTCGCGCACCTGCACGTAGGAGTGCTCAGCTGTGATTACCGGATTCGGAGTGTTTTGATTTGGGTCAGCTGGTCACTCGCTATGGGGCTTAACCATTTACCAGGAATGAGGAATTGACCAAAGTGTAGTCAAGAAGATGCTGTCCTGATTGGGCATGGTATCGGACGCTGGCGAAGGTCGCGAGACCGAGCTGCTACTTCAGATATGGAAGAACGACCTTGGTTCGACAGATACTCCCCGCAGAATCTGGCATATTCGAGTACCTTTTGAATCGTTGGAAGAAGCCGGAAACCAGAACACACATCCAACCACTCAGAGCCATGTAATTAGAATAGGGTTTTGGGGGCCGACTATACTACCATTATAATAAGCATCCCCGCGAAATACTGTAGGTAATTCTGGAGGCCCCCATATTGCTCAAGCCAATTGAACAGTCGCATCCCAAATGCCTCAGCCGCTTGATCGACCTTGTGGCAACGACAATCCGATGATGAAGACACTACACCTCTCAACCCGAAAAGCTATAAACTCCAAGTCCCCACCCACGTGAAACTATCCCCTTATAAAGTCCTTGTAGTATCCGGTATGCAAACCTGGCCCTCATAGTCTCACCCAGACTCCCGGAGCGCCGACAACTGTAGGTTCCCTGATGTACCTTTTGAAACGAAGGGTGTTTTTTAGTAGCCAGGGGTCGACATGCGCAAAGGGTCCGAGTACGTATTAGTATACATGCTACTTTTTTTGGAGCCCAAAAGTATACAAAGTAGCTCACTAAGTAGCAACTACATGTGCACCTGGACCTAAAGAACTCAAATCTCCGCCTAAAATCGAAACCCTTAGGATGCCTTGCATACCTCATGAGATGATGGGTGTTTCTAGCCAGCTACACTACAAAACGCAGACGATAGATACAAAAAATGTATAGTATACAGATTTGGAGCCCAAATATCTACTGAGTGGCTACAATAATCCTAAACCCTATACATTTTTGATCCGATACAAAACTCCAACTCTTGAGACCTTAAACCCTTAAACCCCTAACCTTACTTCCTAAACCCCTAAACCCTAAACCTAATACTACCTAGGATAAAAGAACCCGACTCTAGAAACTCCAGAAAAAAGGGCGCCTGCGCTGAAGCCAACTGGATCCTTGGAGCCGCCGCAGATCGAGAGGATCGCCTGCTATATGGGTAGTTGTCGAACTTATGGTCCCTAATTGGGTCCCTTGTTTAGGGTACTATTTCAGGATAATGAGCCATAGTATAGTATAGTATAGGAGAGGCCTGCTATATGGGTAGTTGTCAAACTTATGGTCCCGATTGGGTACCCTAAATATTAGGTGCCGTATCATATTAAGGACCCAAAAAGGGAGCGTAATGTTGACAACCACCCATATAGATAAACCAATAGACGATAGAGTAGAGTAGAAGTATAGTATGATCTATGAGGATCGTCTCGTATGAGAAACAAAAGACGATACAGAGAATAGTATAGTAGAGTATAGTATAGGAGAGGAACGCCTCTTATTGGAGTTCCGAAAATTAGGGGTACCTTGATCGGGTACTATTTCTGGATGCAGAACCAAAGTATAGTATAGTATAGTATACTATGAGAGAAGACCTCTTATGAGAAAAGTAGCATGGTTATAGTATACTACAACGTACTAAATACTTGTATAGTGGTAGAGGATCGCCTGTTATCGGCAACAAGAGACGATATGGCAAGAGACGATATAGACTAGATCATCATAGTCCGTAGTTAAGAGCATATTAAAATATATTGTATATATATATATATATAGATATATAATACACAGCATGACATAACAGAATACGTTACAATATTCTGTACGGTTTTTGCGAACCACTCTAGCAAGTGTATATTTGTCATGGAGCCTTACAGCTACGCGTTTTGCTTATCCTCAACTCTAAACGCCCTAGAGGCTGCTTGTTCAACATGGCTTTTGGAGGCTGGATCTCCCGTGTCTGCGATTCGAGGTACTATAGCAAGGTCTAAGATTTCGGGGCTTTAGGCTGTAAGGGTTAACAGGGTTTAGAGCTGCACAGCGAGCAATTTGGAGTTGAGATCTTGGGCTGAAGCAACTCAGGCTTTACAGTACTACAGTCCACTTACACTCAGGAACCCATGAGGAGACGAAAGGGCCGTGAAGCTTCAAGGATCGTTGCGAATATGAACATGCTCTGATTACGAGTATGGTTGTTACGTTGTTTACGTTTAGACGATTATTACAATGAGTATTGTTGGGCATGACTAGTATCATTATCAATAAACTTCACTTGATATTATACAGCGTGACTACTCTTATATGAAGCGGGTATCTGGGCTCTCTGGATCTGGAGGTTCACATTCATGAAGATATGCTATGGTTTTGAGCCCGGACTCAAGAGCCGTAAGCACATAGGTGCTTAGGGCCTTAGGATTATAGGCTCATGGCTTAGGAGCTAAGGGCTTAAGTTAGCAGCTGCAACGTTGGGATTCCGGGTCTAAGCCTTGAACAGCTTGCTTTAGACCTCAGGTGCCTTGTAAGCTCTGACCACTCGAAACTGCGCCTCTTGCCTTCCGAGAGCCCTCAAGACACCAAAACCTCGAACTAATTCTCACATTGGCTTTCAATCTAATCTCGTGACCCCTTCTCCCAACGGTAAATCCCAACGTACCCTAAACCCCCTGAAGCCCCGACCCTTTAACCCTTGACCCCATAATTAGAATCCCAACACCCGCGTGTGCAGCCACATTACACCCAAAAGCCACTCTGCTAAACACGCCGGGCCCACAGGCAGAAGCCAAAGTCCGTGTGCTCCGGCAATGGTTACCACGAGGAAGAGGACCTCCAAAAAATGGGTGAGGCCTTTATGATGCCTATGCGTTTGGGGCTCTGTAGGGTTTCGAAAAAACTGGTGATAAGGGCTCTATGGTGAGGAACCACGCTGCCGGAAATAGCGAATGCCTGATGTTTACAGCACATGCCTCCAAGTTAATGTCCTTGCGTGGATTCGATTCACTGCCCGAAGCAGTCATCGCAAGTCGAAACTCCAACTGTTATGTACTGCAAACTCGATTCACGAAGACTTCTCGATCCGACATGGTACTCCATTACCGCAAACTCTATGTCCATTGAACCCAAAACAAGACACGTATGCTTCATAGCCCCTTGGGTTCACAAGTTTACTTCGCAGAATGAATCCCGGTCCAAGAGGAACCAGAAACCCCATCAACCAAATCCTAAACCCCCAAACCACGAAGCCTTGAAAAAGATCCGGAAGACGTAGCTCTCAGAGAAGCCAACCACCACCACCTCGGCAATTGCGATCGAGCTGTGATGCCAGAAGTCGCCCTTAAACCCTGGCCCTGATTCCCAAACCCTTCCTGAACGATTAAGCCTTACACCCATCTACTAACACTTGGGGGTTTCCGAAAATGGGGACCCTCATATAGTACCCATAATAGCAGGAGCCTTAATATAAGGCGCCCCAATATAAGGTACCCCTAATTCTCGGAAACGCCCACTTCGCAGCAGCAATGATGTTAGGTCCTACAGCCTCCTAGCCCCCATTTTTCGCAGGCAAAGCCGCTGCCAGGAGGGTCGACAAGACCGCGTTGAAGGTGCAGGGCCTGCCGCTGCTTTACAGTTTCGGATCTTGGAAGGGCTTCGGTGGGGTTTGGAAGTTTGCGTCGCTGGAGCTTCCACCTGTAGTTAGAGGATAAAGGACTTGAAACAACGTTGGTCTTTGGGCTACAGGCAGCATGTACATGATTTAATTAGCAACTCCAAACTCCCAAGCAAGAAACACCCAATTCACGAATACTCTACACGTACAATCCGGAGCCCAAGCAGGGCACCCTAAATGAGGGCATATCGGGAAGTTTCTTTTGGGCACCGGACACTCTGCATCTTGAGAAGCCCAGCGGCCCAATGCGCTCGGCTGCGGCGATGGCTCGCTCTCGCGGGCTCCCAGTTGACTCCTTGCTGTCGCGACGGCCCTACTTGGAGGTTCAGGGGTAGTTATAAGTGGGGAAAATAGGGGACCCGAATATCGTACCCTAAATAGTAGGATCCTTCTACAAGGGCCCCGAAACAAGGCACCCCTAACTCTCGCAAACTCCCACTCTTCCTTACAGGGACTGCCCGGAACGACACCTCATCGCACCTTTGGCTGCTGATTCTTTCGGATGTGGGACGTTACGTGGACCCCCAAAATATGCAGAATAAAACTCTTTTGTAGGTTTTGGGGCCATTATTTTACCTACTTTGGGGGGTCTAGGTAGCATCATTATTTATTCTCCCCGAGCTCCTTGAACATGTGGGCGATGTGCGCGGCATAATCCACGGCCAAGCCGACGCAGATCAGCACGTAGATCCTCAGCACTGTAGTTTCCGAAAGTAGGGGACCCTCATAAAGTACCCTAAGTAGTAGGATCCTTATGATAAGTGCCTCAGCACTTTCAAGGCGCCGCCAGATCGGAAGTTTTGTAAAGATACAGGGGAGTTTTCGAAAATAGGGTACCCGAATAAAGTACCCTAAGTAGTAGGATCCTTATGATAAGGGCCCCAAAATCAGGTACCCCTAATTTTCGGAAACTCCCACATGGGTACTTATCTACATTAATTAGGTGCCTGTTAGGGTCCCTTTCCTAAGAGTGCCATACTATATTTTGGGAATATAAACCCAAATTTGGAGAAGAACCCACATGATATACAGCTGGCAAACCATCCAGACTGCGCGGGTTCAGCTTCGTTACGGCTACATGCACTCGCTTCGATCGATGAGTCTTGCCTTTGGGGTTGTTGCTGGGGGGAGCCTTCAGCCTATAGGGGTATGCCATACTATGATTACAACAAGGAGCCCTAAGCTACGGAACAGCTGCAGTTTTTCGGGCTTCTGGATTGCAGGCGCACGCTTCCTGCACGTGGAGCAGGGCTATAGGTGGCCCCTCTTGTCAGGGGGGTTCGCGAAACCTCAACCGTGAGTTCCTGATGCTTAACTGACCTTCTGGGCCTGTACCTCAAGCCTTCGAATCTCGACCATTGCATCACGGTTGCGTGGAGACGCCGCTAATCGTCACGTCCCAGAAATACCTCAGGTATTCAGATCGCCTTCACTTCACGGACCAGACTGTCGAACCAAGTAGGCACGAACACGTCTGAAGACACTGCTGTACCCATAGGCCCCAAAGTAGTTCCTTTTTGGGACTACCTTATAGTATTCTATATGTGAACCCCAAAAAGCAACTACTTTGGGGCCCATGGGTAATAAGCTGAACATCGAGATCTCCGAGGGATACGACTCCTGGTGGTCCTTGTATCGCCTTCTTCCTTTGGGGATCTTTGCGAAGAGCAGTACAGACCATCACTAACCTCAAACCCGAAGCCCTGCAGCCTAAACCAAAACCACCGAAAACCTCAAAAACAAAAACACAAATCTCACCTGCAAGCCTGACAGACATGTAGGAAGCATTTCCCTACGACGCTAGGAGCTTGCGGCCACTTTGAGTCTATAGGGCTTTTGCAACATCCGCACCTTTTCTATGAGGCTCTTCGATCGCGGCCTTGCCCTCCAAATCCCGCAGCATACCCAAAGGCCCCAAAGTAGTTCCTTTTTGGGGTTCATATATAGAATCCTATAGGGTGCTCCCAAAAAGGAACTACTTTGGGGCCTCTGGATACTGCTCTAGAAACCCTGGGCCTCTAACCCCAAAATAGTAGGATTCATATAAGGAGCCCTAACAAAGGCCCAAGGTTTCTTGCTGGCCCAGGCGCATGAAGCCCAGGGTGTCCACGATGGAAAGGGCGACGCACAAGACCACCTGCGGAGGGATCTTTTTTGGGAACCCACGCCTGTTGCAGCTCTTCAGGCTTGGTGTTGCATAGTTGTAGCGGTCTTGGCTTCCGTCTAGGGTTGTGGGTGTCGAAAATTCTGGTAGGGCAGCAAGGTTCAGGCAGCTTAAAGAGTGCCCGCCCCACGAAACCGAGCACCTCTCTGGACGCTCGCTTTAATTGATACAGCCTTCCCCCTTTCATCAAACACGCCACTGATAACGATACGAACGTTTGGAAAATCACTCCTTTTGAAGCCCAATTGTAACTGGAGGTTCAGGAGCAAGAGCAGGAGCAGGAGTAGAAGCAAGGGCGGAAGCAAGAGCAGGAGCAAGAGACGAAGCACGAGCAGGAGCAAGATCCCCCCCCAAAAAAAGACCCTATGACAAATGTACCTTTGGAGTTTCTAGTGGGTGGAGACCCTCTATTATACTATCCAGGGAAGGGATAAAGTGCATGAAAACCGCCCCTGTCCAAAGGCAATAGCCCCTACAACCCGCACTGATGCACTCAAAGAGCCAGACAAGGGGCCCAGATCGCGATACGAGGAGCCGGCACCAGCGCGAAGATGACAACGAGAATGACCTCTGCTCACTCTCACACACTCAAGTGCACAACTTTCTGATTTTTATTTACGAACACCTCTCGGTCTGCAGCATACTCACGACATATATCTATCTACTTACAAGCATGCACCTACATAGATAGCTAGGCATACACACACAGACACACACACATTGTGTGTATGTACATTTAATGAGTTGGATCTACATTCGCACTTTAACGTAAGAGTGTGGTATACAAGCGCGATGCATACAAGCATGTAAGCATGTATGTATGTATGTATGTATGGATGTATGTGTGTAAGTAAGCAAGTAATTATGTAAGTATGTACGCATGTACGTACGTATGTATGTACACATTTAAAACATATATGCATGTATGCATGCATGTATGTATGTATAGATGTATGTACAAAGGTGTGTATGTACGTACGTATGTACGTATGTATGTACGATGTATGCATGTCGCTCCTTCTCTTTCTGTCTCTCTCTCCCTCTCTCTCTCTCTCTCTCTCTCTCTCTCTCTCTCTCTCTCTCGTCTCTCTCTCTCTATCTCTCTCTCTATCTCGCTCGGCCTGCCTACCAACAGAACTACCAGGGGGCTCGTGAGGCTTTAAAGGGCGGTAACAGAGGAGCCTTAAGAATAAGAATAAGGTGTTGTTGCACGTGGACAAGGAATTTGAGACGTATTCGCAGCAACGTGGCAATCGTTGCGCCTGCGAATGAGGATCTATCTGCTGTTGTCAGCTTATACACTAATTGTATTCGTGTCATTCTTCTTGTTTGCGGCGGTCCTGTTGCTGGCGATACTCTGACGTGCAATTTAACTTTTCCTTCCAAAGGGCACCGCCGCACACCATCAAGTTCCGAACGAGCTCTGCGTCGATCACTCCAACCTTTTGAACGGTCTTTGGCGGAGGTTAAGTTTTAAGTGTTGGGGGCCAACACACCTTTTTGGGAGCAGCGGCACACCGCTGGATGAACACCAGAGCGCTTACATCTGCTGAGCCCCTGCCAACGGCCAACGGCCGTGTCCCCGGGTGTCAAGCCATAAACCTTGCCACCCAAACGTGATAAGCCCCGCAGACATTTGGTAGGGGCCTCCTCCCAATATAAGAAGTCGAAGCTGTAGGGGAAGGCGCCCGAGATCAGCTCATCGACCTCGTTGGACACCGAAAAGCAGTGAGTTGAGGGGTTTTAAATTTTCAGGGAGCAGGCGCTTTAAGTTTAGGGTTTAGCGTCCCTAAGCCCAAAGCTGCAGGGGTGGAGGGGGGTGGCTTTTTTGGGGTGCTTTGAGGCTTCAGGCGAATTTTACAAAGGGTTTTGTTCGAATTGCTGGCGCCAAGCCCAAGCTCAGGGGTTTAGGGTTTCGGGTTGGGGGTCATCCCAGTCAGCCCTGCAGGGGTCCGAGGCACGAACTTCAGAAGTAGAACAAGGCTTTGGGGGATATCTTGTGATAGAGTATTTATGACAATATGAATAAGGAACCCTACGGAATATCACTAATCAGTCAGGCTTCCATATTGGTTCTTTCCGTCTGCTGAGGTTGTTTTGCAAGCTGTTTCGGAGGTTACTTCCCATAAGACTGACATGTTAATTGAGGAGGTTAGGATCCAACATGAACACATAATGATTTCAGGTCCCTGGGTTTTTTATGCTAAACAGTGCTTCGCATCGCCTTAGAAGTACGGACATGGTGGGCGAAGTTTGGTGTCTGTACTTGCACGTCAGGTTACGCCCGTGCCATCTTCAAACGCAGGCTAGCGTGGTTTTCTTATGTCGTGTCGATCTATATTGAAACGACGGAAAACAACTCCTGAGAGATTCGCCGGTGCCTGAACGCGACCTCTGGGAACCCAAAGCTATGCGAGTTTGCACCAAAGACAGGCAGGCTTAGGGTTCATAGGGGAAGTTCACTGAGAAAAAAGAAGGGTCCATGTACCCAAAAAGTAGATACTTTGGCCTTAAAGTAGTCCCTATATAGGTACTTTGAGGCCTCAGTATATACTATTTGGGCACATGGACCCTTAGGGAAAACCACAACACTCCACTCTCTTCGCCAGCCTTCTTCCGCATCGACTCCATGGTGGTGTAGCGGTTCGTGCCTGTCGAAGGCTGCGAGGCTTTAGAATTTAGGACTCCCGATTTCTCCGCCGACATCCCAGGCATGCCGGTTTAGGCTCCATGCGATTGATACTTCAGTTCGGCTGGTTGTCTCATGATACCCCATACATCCTAAACAGTTCGCACCGGCATAGGTCTTCTTTGAAACTCCCAGAATAATCAGGCAAAGCTCTAGCCCCGAACCATGAACTTATGCAGCCGTAAGCGGCACTGTAGCATCAAGACTAGCTTTGAACAGAATTGGCGTGACACGCGATTGCCATGAGCCCTCAACGCCCCCCAATACTATAGGGGCCTTAACACTTAATGTAGGGGCCGTAATGACTGGAATAGGTTTGTTTTTATATTGTACTATAACTCTAACAAGGAACCCACAAAATCGTTATAGGAAAATATTAAGGCCCCTCTAGCATAGAACCCTACTATCGATCCCCTATAGACCCCTTATAGAGCGCATTAAAGGAAACCCTATAGCTAATTATTAAGGCCCCTATAGTAGGGCTAGGGCTAGGGCTTTGGGGCATCCTGTGCTGTGGGGAAAGCAGCCCACGAACCCGCTTTCCGGTTTCCAAAGTGTCCCTCAGCCTCGGGTTCCTAGACCCCCAAAAGTAGGTAGAACAATGGCCCAAAACCGAAGAAAGAGTATTATTCTACATAGTTTCGGGGTCCAGGTTCAAGTTCGGGCTCTACAAGTGGTATAGGGCTCAGGGTTTAGAGGTTCAGGGTATAGGGATTAGTCTCAATTAAGTTAATACCTGGGCCCTACAAGGTCTAGGGCTTAGTCTCAATTACTTCATTTCTTGCTTCCGACTTCATAGTACGATTTCCGAAGTCTTCAACGCCACTCCCGCACCGAACCAGGGCCTTTGTCCGTGGCAGCCAGAGACAACTCTGCATTGAAGCGGGAGGCTCTGAGACCCCCGGGCCTGTGGAATCAGATGCCCAAGTTTAGAGTTTTTTTTTAGGGTTGAGGGTTTAGGGTTTAAGGGTTTAGGGTTTAGGGTTAAGTTTAGAGTTTAGAGCTTAGGGTTTCACAGATCTCGCGTTTAGGGGTTTGGGGGGTAAGACGGATGTACGGTTGAGGGTTTGCGCGAATCTGATGCAACGTTTAGTAAAGTAGTTGAGAAAAGGTCTAGTCTATACTCTCAAGCCGCAAACCCTCAACTCCTGAACCACAAGACACATTCTGTGGTGGCACGAGGCTTTTAATTGTTGGCTGACATCAATGCGACAGACTCTGAGACTGAGAAAAGCTCCGGAATGTGTTAAACACGAGGACCCCGCAAACTGGAACCAAAGACTTCAAAAGCCCCGACTCCTGGCCGTGAAGCTCTCTAGATGAGGCTCATCGAAGTCCCGTTCTTGAAATTCTGGGAAGGCCAAGTTGCACGTCGCACCCTGTCGGGATAACCTCGACGCTGCCATCGACGTTGCATGCCTCCGCGTGAAGCCGAGTACTGCAAATGGACTGTGAGGAGACATTTTGCCATGACGGCCACGGTGATGCTCATTGCCATGCCCACCATTACGAAACATCTTTGATACTACTGCCCTGGTATCCAGAACTACCTTACCTGTCGCGGGTACAGGGTATCAAGGGGAACCCGGCAGCGACGAATCCACCACAGACTCCCTGCAAATCAGACCCAAAGCTCTAAGACTCTAAGACTGGCATTGAATTTGTTTTGAGCTTGTCCTGTTTCCCTCCACAGCCCGTGGCCAGGAAACGTGCCTGAACCTGAACTATCACTCTAAACCCTTTACTGCCGATTTCTACACGACAAACCACTATCGTTGAATAAGATAATTATGCAATAGCTCATCGCACTATACACAGCCAATATCACTATTCACTTTAAGACACCTAAACCCTAAACCCCTAAACCGTAAACCTCTAAACAGCAAACCCCTAAACCCTAAACCCTTTTAGCATCTCTCGTTTGGAGCTTCAAACATTCGTCTGTCGATTGGCCTCCGAGGCCCAGATCAGGGAGCCGCGGTAGCGAGAGCCGGTGGTGCCACGATACCTCAGACTTTAGGGCTTCAGGGTTTAGGGCTTCAAGGATTTAGGGCCTTCGGGCTTTAGGGCCTTAGGGCTTTAGGATTAAGGCTTTAGGATTTAAGGCTTTAGGGCTTTAGGATTTAAGGCTTTAGGGTTTAGGGTTTATATAGACCTCAGACTTTAGGGTTTTAGGGTTTAGGCTTTCGGGTTTAGGATCGAGGATTTCGGTTTTCTTTAGGATTTCGGGTTTAGGATTGAAGATTTCCGGATTATCAAAACCCTGGGGCCTTAAGTCCTAATCTCTGAAACCCGGTCCTTCAAGCCTGAACCCTAAACGGAGAAACCCAGACCTTAACGCCTGAACTTCTGAACGATCAAGTGAAATCCCACGACGTACAAATCATGAATTCGCAAACACCTCCCGCGGTGCGGATGCTTACGGTCTAGTCTTGGGGCTTTAGGGCTGAATTGAGAGATGTTGGTTTGGGTATCACGGTATCACGGTCTGATTATTTTCGGTGTGGAGCGGTCTCTCTCTCTCTCTCTCTCTCTCTCTCTCTCTTTCTTTGTTCCTCTCTCCCTGACTCTCTGTCTCTCTGTTTTCTCTGTCGTTCCCTCTCCCTCTATGCTTTCCTCCCCTCCTTCCTCAACCCGAAACCCCAAACCCGGCTCCCTCTCCCCTTTCGAACGTTGCAGCCCGGAAACCAGGTGTGCAGCGCGCTGTAGAAGGCCTGGGCTCTTTTACCGTTCTTGTCATCAGGGTCTAGGGTTTAGGGTTCAGGGTTTCAAGCATGTCATTAGGGTTTAGGGTTTGGGTTCTTGTCATCGTGAATCTACATGGGGCCTGCAACTCGAAATTAGTAGGTTTAGGAAGTTCATGAAAGTTCGATGCTAACTACAGGCAGCAGTTCTGCTTCCTTGCTTTGGAGGGTTTCTAGGGATCCTAGGGATCTGGGGTGGGCTCCTCCACCAAGGGTTCCAGGCAATGGGTTTTAGGGAAGAAAGGTTTGGGGTTTGGCTTGGGACAACTCTTTCTGCCGTTGCTTCTTCGATTCGATTATGGCTCGGGGATTCGGTTCCAAAAGGCCTCAGCTGCAAAGGATCGATCCGCAAATTCACCCCGGTACAGCATTCACAGCTTCTGTATGTCACTGCAACTCCGCAACCTTCGCAGCTTCAGCCAAATCCAAAACACAAAAGACATCTAGGGCCGGAATAATTAGAATAGGGTTCTGGGGTCCAGTATGCTAGAATAAATAAGGAACCGCCAAAATAGTATAAGCAACTACTAAGGCCTTTATGGTAGCAACCATGGGGCTGGTCGGTCGGCGAATCTGGCGTTTGCCGCGGTGCGGGACGGCGTGAACGTGGCACTTGCAGTCGCGGCCTTTGAAGAGCTCTGGGTTCGGAGTCGATGGGGTGCAATGCAGTACCTATACCAAGTGATAGTGATACTGATGCTGATGCTGTTGCTGCTGCCGATCCTCCTCCTCCTCCTCCTCCTCCGACGACGACGACGACGACTACTACAACGACTACGGATTCTACTACCGCTACTGCTGCTTCTAGTGCTACAGCCACTGCCTCTGCCTCTATCGCCATAGGGACTAAAGCTTTGATCGATCCTCCGTCACTGCTGTTCGTGCTAGTGATGCTGCTGTGCTGGTTGATGCCACTACACAGGCTACTACGATTTGTCGTCTTGCGTCTGTTCGGTCGAGAACGCACCTGGATAGTGACTGTGCTCGCTATTGCGTTTTCGGAACTATTTTCCTTTTGCTTTTACGACTCATTAGGACGACTTAGCAGTATTTTACACTACTCAGAGTATTCCAAATAGCCCTTCACAAGACGACTGTACTACAGTCACTCAAACTTGGCTACGGGTGTACCTAAGAATTCGAAGTCTGAGGACGCAGCCCGCTGACCTTCCGGAGGTGAAGACAGCTTCAGGGCTTGGGGTCAAAATCTGACGAACCGCTACCTCAATTCCAGGAAACCTACAGTTCCCTACTATGATTTCCGTAAGTAAGACATTTCCAACTGGTAGGTTTTGTGGGGGTGAAGGCTGTGAAAGGAACAGAGATCCCAGAACTTCTCCTAAGCCCGGCACTCAAAACTCTTTATGCCTCGCGTTCTATCTTTCTCTGCGCCTGGCTCGGGTCCACGGCCCATTCCATGAACTCCTGGTACCAACTGTCGACTCCGACGTCCTGTCCGAAGGGATACAGGGGGTTTTAGAAGAGGGTTTTGGGTTTAAGGGATGCAGTAGAGGAGGGTTTAGGGTTTAGGGGATGCAGTCGGATACCAAAGTTTTAGAAGAGGGTTTAGGGTTTATGGGAGTCGGAGTCGGATCCAGGGCTTTCAAGGGGCTTTTTGGGGCGTTGTTTCGGCAGCTACATTTCGGGGCCTTTGCGGTTTGGTTTAGGGTTTAGGGTCTGACTCCAGTAGGTTTCCCCTAGTTGAGGGGTACCTACCAGGCTATGCAAGTTTCAGCTACGGACGAAGGTTCATTACCCCCAGATTCATGGCTCCCTATGAAGGAGCCCTACTATATAGTCTGAAGCCTGGAATATATGGGAGTTTCAGAAAATAGGGGACCCTAGTATAGTACCCTAAATAGAAGGATCCCTATTATAAGGACCCCCAAATAAGGTACCCTCATTTTCGGAAACTCCCATATGGAACCATCGTAATCAAGCAGGGTACTGGAGCCATTGCTGTGGAGGACATGCCTCCTTGGGGACATCTTTGCTTGCACGGGTCTCATGCTTAATCCAAATTCCTGCAGACCCTTACCGATTGGGGTTTAGGGGTTTAGGGTTGGGTCAGAGTCCAACTGTACAGTAATTAGGCCTTCCAACAGTGATGAAAAGACACCAAGTTGTCGTAATCTCTATGAAACCCTTGCAGAAAATCCTTACAGTCAACCTAAAGTCTGGAAATTCTGACTGGCAGCTTCATCCGAGAGGTTTGCAGCCCAAACTTCACTCTAACTCCCAAACGCTCCATCCTGCAAAACCCAAAACATCCCGAGTAAAACCAAATCCGCAAACATGAAAACGCTGTCGGTTATGAACCTATAAGTGTAGCGTTGAGACCTGAAGATAGTACCTTAAGCTGAACACTATGGATCCTCAATCCTCAGGCCCTCTCAGAGCATAAGACCTTCATAGAACCCTCTCAAACCCTAAAGCGTATAGCCCTAATGCTACCACATGAGGCCTTAGTTAAAACCCTGAGCCCGGAACCCAACAACACCGTATTAGTAAAACCTTTTCGTGTTAGCACCGTATGGCACCCCGACAGCCCAGGGCCCAGGCATGATTGATCAGCTCGGTCGTATTCCTGAGATGGCGGGGGAGTTTAGCTTGGGATTGTTGGCGCTTGGGGTGTAAACCCTAAACCCTAAACCCTAAACCCTAGAGTCCAGGCTTTTCAACGAGGGTTGTCAACCCCCACTAGGGCAGCGTGGGTCTCTGCGGCCCACTGTTGGGGATTTGGGGGCTTAGGGTTCATGGCATGGGGACTGGGCTTTCAATTTAAAAGATGGTCGGGAATGGTTTAAGACATGGGGCAAGATGTGGGATTTACGGTTTGGGCAAGGGCTCAGCGTTTGGGGTTTAGGGTTTGGGGTGCCCCCACGGCCTCTCTTACGAAGGTCCTTTGTCGGGTTGCCTTGATTCTTCATACTGGGCCTTGACCAATAGTTTGAGGGGCAGAGGTGGATTCTGGAAGAGCTGCAGGAAGTGGTATGGGTTGGGAATTCGGCTTTTCGCACTTGGGCGTGAAACCACTGGGCAACCTCAAGCCGTATTCTAATCTTTGAGGACTATACTAGGTATCGATTTCATTCAACAGTCCCCAGCAATTATTTAGACTGAAAGCTCCATAATAAACAATACGGGCACACAAAACCCTATCCCCCGTCGATCGCTAGTATAGTGTACTTGCACTTCTTTCTGCCGCCGATGGTCAGGTAGCCGTAGAGCTCATGGAGGCCCTCCTGCGCCTAGGCGCGAGGATGCTTCAGGACTGTGTTTCTTGCTGCACCATTTTCGGAGCGGTGCATTCATGAACTGCATACTCTTGCATCGGTTGTGAGAAAATACTTATAGTTCATTAGAGTGCCAAGTTTTCGTGGCTCGGAGCAAGCTGTGACTTCGACCTAGGGTTCAGTCAGTTGTTGAAGTCGGGCTGATCGCAACAAGCTTGTGAAGCCACGGATGGCAGTACTCGAGACTATCTCTGGATCTTTACGGCGGCGGTGGATTTGTGAATTCACCCAAGGCCAGGTGCAGAGTGAGTCCAAAAGATCAATCATACTGGCCACAACCGGAATCTAATGAAATTTTGTCTTCGCGTGTCCCAGAAGCAGACGGGAGGTTGCACCTGGTTCTTGTAAGCACGCACGCACTCGTGCAGCAATGTCCAGATAAGAAAATCAAAAGCACTAGACGCCAGCGCACTATACTTCATCCTCGTCTCTCAACCCCAATGTAAGCTTGGCAGACTTGATGAGACAAGGGAGTCCTGAACTCTAAAACCCTAAGCCCTCATGGGAGAACAGCAACAAACCATGCAAGACCCTATAAAATCCCAATACTACCCCAAGAGAACCCTTGTGAAAACCGTTTGCCTCGTAAGCATCGGGGCTCGCCCTCATGTTGATGGTGATGGGCGTCCCTGGCTCGGGTGCCAGCTTGGCGCTTTTGGTTTGCTTAAGGGCCCCTCCTGTGGGCTCAGTTGTTGTGCGGAAGGGTCCCGGTGAGGGTTCCCTTAAGGGTTCCCTCACAGATTCCGTTCAGGGCTTTCCTCAGAAGGTTCGTCAGAGGATTCCTTATGTGCGGCTCGGCTCAAAGTGCCCTACACCCTAAACGTCACGGTACGGAATCGCGCTGTGAATCAGCTAGGAGCCTTGGTGCCAAGCTTCTCGCTTCAAGCCTCGCCCCAAGCCCAAGCCCAACCGTTCTCGCAACTTTCCTACGAAAGTAAGTACCCAAATTCTGCTGTAGACTCTAGGGGTCATAACATAATCACAGGTCAATGATGTCTAGGGGCTGCGGGAAAGCCCTATAGACCCCTGCAGACTCCGGGAATGCAACCTCGCGAGGCCAGACTATGTGCACAGCAGCTGCGATAGTGTTCTAGAGGCTTCATCTCACAGCTGCTCTTGAATGGGCTCTTCCTGAGAGTTCTGACAATGAGTGGAACAGGACTGCTAGCTTCGAGCAGTCTACGTTCCTGAACCGATTTGCTTTGTGCAGGCGCTCTTGCAGATGCTGGCCTGTCGCGAAGTACATGTTGTTGACATCGAAGAACTGGTTCCTTAACAGGGCTTGGGATTCAGAGTCCCAAGGTTAACGCTTTTGATTATGTAGGAGCTATATAGGGATTATACTACCCCAAAAAGGTTAAAGGCTACCAACTCTACTACCAGGGAGTTTTGGGGTCCTCGTTGTGACAGCTTCTGGGCCTGAGACCGACGCAGCACCTGGCAGGTATTCAAGCTGGACGAGGTGACTCGTGGTCGTTCCTATACAGATCGCATGATTTGGGGTCTACTGTATGGGGATCCCCCATTTCTACAAAAGGGCTTGGAATCCTGCGGCAAAAGAAAAGAAGTCGGGAGCTCGATGCGAAGAAGACCAAACAAGAGGTGCCGATTCCACAAGATTGCCCCGGATACCCTGCTTCAGGGATGAAGGGACTTATGGGCTATGAACTGAAATAGCAATTAGGACAAGCCCAACTCGGATAGCTGGAAACCGATGTGAAAAACATCACATGTCCTGAAGCCATGAGGAATCCAAGCCAACACGACACTGAAACGAACGTGGGCTCAATCTTAAGAGCGGCAGGTTCACAGGCCCTGTAGAACTCAACGCCCTCTGTAAATGGCATCCCAACTATCACTACAACCGAATGCTTATGAAACTCATGCTCCAGCTATCGCCATTACAGCCATTCGCAATTGGGCTTGCTGTTGCTGCTACTGGTACTCCCAATGTTCACAAGAGCATTCCCGACACAAACAAGACCGCACACTACAATCTCTGATGATCACAGTAGCAAACTGCATAGTAAACACACCTTACCAGAGCAGCAATCCTGCTCGCAAGACTTATACTGAACTTAGAACCCTAGCCAAAAAAAATAGCTGTTTCTTAGGGATTATAATAACCCAAAAAGTAAAAACTATTTCTAAGTACCCCCAAAAAGAATAGTGAAGCCACTGCATCAGGGTGGCACGTAGGACGAGTCCGGGATGAACCATTCCAGCTTGAAGTCCTCTTCTCGTTCTTTGGGACTGTGGGGGGGGCACTTTAAAGGGCCCCCGGCCATGGCGCCCTTCAAGGGAAGCCTACGAAGGCAGCCTTCAAAAGAGGTTGGGGACGGTTGATGATATAAATCCTGCATTACCCATAATAAGGAATATACCATAATTCCTATAGTTTAGGGCCCTTAAGGTAATGCAGGATTTATATCATCAACAGGAGGAACAAGAGTCGAGTGGGGACCGCGGAAAAGAGAAGCCGGCGGGGACTCAAATACAAAAGAAAGCCCCTTTCAAGGACTGTCTGGTGCTTCGGAGGGACTGGGGGAATGGATCCCTATAGTAGTTCCTGTATAATCCCCAATAATAGTCCCATAATCCATTCCCCCATTCCCTACTAAGAACCAGACAGCCTACTAAGAACCCCAAACCCCTATAGCATAACCCTTACAGTAACCCTTAAAGGAACCCTTAAAGGACCCCCATTCCCTACTAAGAACCAGGGAGAGGATCCAGATCCTGACCATGGCGGAGGTCTCGTGGAAGCACGTGGGTGGTTCTCAAAATTATAGTCCCTTATTGGTTAGTAGGGAATGGAAGAATGGTAGTAATTGTAGTTATATAGTAGTAATATGGTAGAAATATGGTACCCTAAATAATAGGTGCCGTACTATAACAGGGACCCAAGAAGGGACCCTAATTTTGACAACCACCCACGTGGCTTCAGGGGTTTAGGGATTGCTGGGGTTTAGGGATTTTAGGGTTTAGGGTAGGAGGGGCTTTACATAAGGGTTGAGGGGCTTAGGATTTTAGGCTTTGGGGATTTCAGGGTTTAGGGTAGGAGGGGCTTTACATAAGGGTTCAGGGGCTTAGGACTTTAGGCTTTGGGGATTTCAGGGTTTAGGGTAGGAGGGGCTTTACATAAGGGTTCAGGGGCTTAGGACTTTAGGCTTTGGGGATTTCAGGGTTTAGTGTAGGAGGCTGTTTCACGGGATGATGCCGAACACGACCGGTGGGATTCGAGACCGCGTCTGCCGTTGATTCGGCGAAGCGTGAATTCGAAGCTGTGCCATACGTTTCCTTCCACCACAACACACCAAAGAAAATTCCAAGCTCGTTAATCCAAAGTTCTAATATAGGGGCCACTATACGAGAATTAAGACAAGGAGCCCCCATAAAGGTATAGGTGATTCTTTCGGCTCCTATCATAATACAAGCCCTTTCTAGGAACGTCCTTGTAGATCTTCGTGGTGCCAAAGATTCCTCCAGCTGTCAGAGCAGCGAACCTGGGCCATCTCTGGATAAGACACTCAAGTAACCTTAATTCCAGGAACGCCCGAAACCCTAAACCCTGAACCCAAAACCCTATACTATACTTTCTGAAGATAGCAGGGACGGATCGGGGGAAAGGCATGATGATGGGATGATACTTGGGCGCCTTTTGCGGAGCCCACGCATTCTGGTCTTCGGCGATGTACAGCAATGATGCAGTTGCCATGCAGGGCTTGGGTGGTGTATGCTGGAGTTGTATACAGTCTACAGTGAAAAACAACGGCAGTGAAGACAATATCCCAGGCGTATGTACCCACTAAGACCACGGGAAACCAAAGATGTAAGGGAGACCCACACCTCCAAACCCGAGGCCTACCCCCTTGGAGGGGTCCCCGCAAAAGACAAATCCATTGAAGCAGGCTGTATCTTTAAAACCATGTGATGGCAGGATGCCCTTTTGGGGGAGTTCTACATCTTGGACCCTTGAGGGGAATGGGGAGTGAAACACTTCAGCGGGATGTCATAGATGGCTCATTGTCTTTCCGAAGCTGACCACCTTTCCTGAGCACAGCCGTCGAGGCCTGGACGTTCTATGGTACTCCCTGAAGCCTTAAAGACTGAATGGCGCCGGCACACAGGACGATGGTGACAATCTGACCCATTGGTGTGGTGACCCGCTCCATGAAGCCCTTCAAGCCTGCGGATTGGAAGCAGAGGTTGACTTTTCAACTGGGCAATAGCAAACGAAGCGCTGCGCCCTAGTCAAAGTGATTGGGCTCTCTGGGTCAATGTCGGGTTTGTGCGGTGGTGCGGCAAAGCTGGAGGGGATAGATGAACTTCCTAAAATGATCAAACCGAAATTCAATTAATTTGTCAGAGCTTAGAGCTTGCAAGGCTTTCAGAAGTGGGGTGCGTCGGAGTCGGAAAATATCGTATCGGGGACCAATGTCCAGCCTTTGCAGCAAACCTGGGCTTTGACTTTCGCATGTGCACCGTTCGGGGTTGAACTTTAGAGACACGCTTCTTAGAGTTCTGCTTTCTCTGGAGTACATGCCCTGCCTCGCTTGAGCACGCCGCCCTGGAAGGCCTGCACAGAGGGACTGCGACGACAATTATGCTACAACTGCAACTGCTCGTATGGTTTAGGGTTTAGAACAAAGTTTAGGGTTTAGAGGCTCCTGCTGCTGCGCTTTTTCTGCTACTGCTACCAATGCTGCTGCCCACTCCTGTTGCTGCCGCTACGGCTACTGTTGCTTCTAGTTGCCACTGCTCCCAAACTGTCACGAACTCTTTTGACTACAGCCCAACTGATCGCACTAATATTGAAGATAAACCATGAGTTACAGACTACGAAGCAAAAGCCAGATAAAATCCCCAAGAGCCCGATATACAGAGTCCGAAAGAGCCTGCCGAGGCAAGCAGCAGCAGCAACAGCCCTGGCGATCGCACTCTTCACAAAGTGCATTTTGTGCGTCTTGAGATTAGAGTAATACAGTAGAGCTTAGGGCTTTAGGGGTTTCGGCTTTAGGAGTTTGCAGTGCAAGAGTTTCGGCTTTAGGCCACTACTCTTTCTTGCAATGCAGGATCTACGAGCAGGCAGGGAAGGCTCCGGGAGTACAAGGCGTCGGGCCTGGCTCTAGGGTTACAGTAGAAGCCAGAAAGTTGGAATATCATTACCGTAACCCCTCTAAGATAAATTATAGGGGATCCTACCATTAATCCATATTCCAACTTTCTGGAGTTCCCTTTACATACATCATACGATAGAAAACAATACGGTATAGAAGAATACAGTATGGCATAGTATACTATAGTAGAACAGTGTATTATGATAGTAAGAGTAGAAGTACTAGCATCGGAATTGGCATTAGGATCAGTACTTTCACTCAGTATTGGAACTAATATCAACTAGTATTCGTGTTAGTGTTAGTACCCTATTACCGATTAGTATTCGTAGTTACCAGTATTAGCCTAAAGCCCTTCGAAGGTTGTCTCCGAGTTTCCTTGTCGTAGCAAGTAGCTTCAAGGATTTGGCTTAGAGTCTGGGCTTTGGGCTTGCAGCGCTTTGTGCATGAAACACTTTAAAGACCCGAGGCCCTGTGTTGAGACCGCCCCCTCATAGTCCTAGATCCTGACTACGCTTAAGTCCAAACCCAGCCGCTCTGGTCGGGTCTTGTACAACCCTTCTAGAACCCAATAAAGCGCTCCGAGAACCTTCTTACACCCGTACTTGGTAAAACCCCCTAGCCGCTGTCAAACCCTGCAGGCACCTTTCAACGCAACTTCAAGACTATCGGAACCGTTCTAAACAGCCAAGAACTCCTGATACCGTTCTATCAACCTACTACAGCACCCAATTCCAAAACAAAAGTAGCAGAAACCCTAAACCCCAAGCCCCAAACCCTTCCCAACATGCCCCCTTTTTTTTTGAGCGCCTGTGGGTCTTCTGGCGACCTCTCCGGGAGTCTGCAGCAACAGCCTTGAAAAACCCACCATATTCGGGAATGAAAGGGGCCTTATAAAGGGGTCTATAAGGGTTACTTAAAGGGATATAATGGGTACTATAATAAAGGGGCCTTAATATTCCCATATCTTACCTTCGGTTAGTAAGGAATGGAAGAATATGGAAGAATGGTAGTCTAGTAGTCATCATTATACCCCATTCCTCCATTCCCTACTAAGCAAACGTAAGATACTGGAGGCATCCGAGGTACCAGAGTCAGGGAATCTGCAGGGTTTCGTGGCGAGTTCTGAGAAGGCTGTCATCGGGTTGATAGAACTCCTTCCGCTTCTTCCGAAGGCTTCGGCTTCCATGGAACCATCGGTCCCTGTTTCGTGTCCTGCGACAATGAGCCCCAGAAAGTTGGAACATTGCTTTAGGATGACTGGTGCTAGGATCCCTTCTACCTTACGTTAAGGGCATGTGGGTATCAATGTTCCAACTTTCTGGGTTCTACTGTACGTCGTGAGGGTCACGCACCTCGAGGCTCAGACAGGGGTGTGTTCTGAATCTCTGAGCTTTCGGCTGAGTTTCTTTGGGGCTTAGGGTTTGTAGGGTTTAGGGCTGTGGGATGTAGGGTTCAGGTTTAAAGATCCAGCGGACGAAGGGGGCTTGAGGTCTACGGCTGGGGGCCAAAAGGCGCTCGCCGAAGCCAAGAACTCGAACTGGAGGTGACACAAATCCCAGACTCCAACCCCGAACCTAATACAGGGGCCTTAATACTTAGAACAGGGTTTGGGGGTCTTTTGTACTAAAACTATAATAAGGAACCCCCAACATAGTATACTATGACTGTAAGATTTCTGAAATAGGTTGCTCGAAGGTTATTATAGGTAAAACCGGTGGGCATCAGCCGAGCCTCCCTTCTCAAAACCCAGCCCTGTAAACCCTAAACCCCTAAACCCTACACCCCGAAGTGAAGGGAACCCGGCCAAGCGACAGCAGTCGATGCGGTTCGCCTCTACACCTGAGGAACTGAAAGCCAAGAGGGTGCCGGTCTTACCTTTGGTTAGTAGGGAATGGAGGAATGGGGTACAATTATAATTACGAGTACTACCATTCTTCCATTCCCTACTAACCAAAGGTAAGGGGCTTTTAGGGCTGAGGGTTCAGAATTGATAAAGTTGGGGGCTTATAAACCCTAAACCCGTCCAGGCAGGCTCTTTCTTGTGTTTTGTTTGGGAATCCTGTGTGAAGGGCGGCTTAGCACTTATGGTACGAGGATCTAGGTTTTAGGGTTCACGTTAAATCGGTATAGGATTTCTGCTAAACACACAAGCCCACTTGAAGATATCAGCTCACTGAAGGATAGAAGCAAACACCAAGAGGCCAGGACGTTTGAGTAAGGAAGCCAATAAATGAACGTTCACAGCACCGGGTTCAAACTCTCCATGTTACTGTAGCAACAGTAGCAACAGCAATAATATTTACCGTGATATTATGTTAGTAGCTTTAACTATAAGTCATAGTAGCAATACGTATAATTGTAATGATGAGAATAGTGGTACTGGTCTCCAGCCAGGCGTTGAATATGTCTCAGGAAGCTGGGGCCCTTGCGGCGTGCATTCAAAGCCAAGCAAGGAAGGAACACGGTCAGCTGATAGGTGTAGCCTGCAGCAAGATGCGAGGGCGTAAGGCTTAAGCTGTCTCTCTCACCAAACCAGTGGTTAATCCAGTTGTGTCCTGTTGCACCGCAACATCACATATTGCCGAGGAGCACAGCACGATCGAAACGCCTGCGTTGCTGAGTGTTTAGGTTTTCGGGGACTTGGCTTTGGGATCTTACGCTTGAGGCTGAGGCTGAGGCCAAGAGGCTGCTGAGATCTCACATTTAGGGTGTGCGTCTGCGTGTGGGGGGGCGGTCTGGGGATAGAGAACCAGAAGTCAACTGCGGCTTTGAATTTTTCAATGAGATCTGATATGCTTCGGCCAAGGCCTGTGCGCCAGGGATCCCTGGAAGTAACTTGTGGCTGTAGTCCACAGGAGTATGTGGAGTCTTTGCTGCAAGATTGAAGGTAAACTGCCCGTGTCAAAGCTGTCCGGAAACACGGGTCAATGATCATCGACTGCACAAACAGCGGGAATGTGTAAAGACACCGACCCAACTTTTAGGCCCTTGCTTCTACTTCCATGCACCCTATATTCCCATGATGCAATTGCAGTCCTTCAATATTCCAGCTGTAAGCAGGTCGTGCTTCGAAAGTCGGGGATCCCATGTGGAACCCACAAAAACCAAATCCGAAGCATACCCAGCAACTCCGCCTGCGTAGGTGCAGAACCTGAGCCCGGAGGAATTGGGCTTATAGGGATTCATTGCAAAATTTTGCAGGCTTGTGTCGAGACAAATCGTCCGGCGCGATGATGGGCGGGAACGGGTCATTAATCATCGTTATAAGGTTCGAAGACATTCAAGCTGTATTGAGTCCTTAAACTAGGGTACCTAGGCTAGACGTTTGAAAAGTTCGTTTCATGGCATGGTCTTCTAAAGCACAGTGGCTCCCAACTTAACTTGGAGGTAGAATCCCAACGCATAGGGTTCTTCTGCACCCTAAAGACCCCCCGGCACGCCCACCACGACCAGCTCCTCAATCTGTAGGATCTCAGCCCGACCAGCAGTTTCGAGGCAGCACGAAGAGCCCTGGATTTCCTGCTTTCAACTTCAAAAACAAACCTGGACGATATGCTGCTTCGCCCTATCCGATCCCACCGAAATTCTCTCTCTCTCTCTCTCTCTCTCTCTCTCTCTCTCTCTCTATATATATATATATACATTAAGATATAGTGACAGAGGGAGAGATGCACAGACAAACGGACAATTCGAATATAAATGAACAAAAATATGTATGTGTGTATGTATGTATGTATGTATGCAGGTATGTATGTATGCGTATATGTATATGTACATGTATGAATACAGAATACATATTCACTAGAAGGCTTGGGGCCCTCAGCTGCAAGGGAACCTGTCAAGCCCAGTAGCCAACCTAATGCTGGCAGCACCGTCGTAGCGCCGACCAAGAAGGCCAGCGCATCTGTGGCAGATGTGATCAGAACCTGAGGGATTAGGGCTTTCAGGGAGTCGCGGCCGGGAACTCTTGAAATTCTGAGGCTGTTGTGGTGACAGCTCCCACGGAAGCTGCACCTGCACCATCAGTGTCCCTGCATCCCAAAGAGTCCAAGTATCAGTATAGTAGTTACTTTGGGGGCCTAAGCATCTGCGAAGAACCTGCTTTATCGAACGGAGCCCCCAAATTTAAATAGTTTTGGTACTGAATTCCGACCCTCGAACCTTAACCCTGTAACTATGTACCCTAAAGCCGAAGAGCCCGAAAACCGAAAGCTCCTCAGACTGGAGGCGGACTCTGGTAGGTGCCGAGGGGCCGAGATTCCACCCGTGCGTGCAGTGGCAGCAATCCGATCGGGGATGCTCAGATCCTGTGGTAAATGGCTTCAGAATTAGAATAGGGTTTGCCGATGTATATGTATGTGTATATATATATATATATAGATACTTATCTATTTACTTACTTCTTTATACTGATATGTATGTTGATGTGTATATTTTAGATTTAAATATGTAGAGTATGCCATACTAGTAGTATAGTAAAGGATAGTACAGTATGTGACAGAGTAGTGAGAGCACAACATAGCGGAGAAAAACGTAGATATATTTCGAAGCCGTGGTAGGTCAAATAATATTAGTAAATATTCAGGCTTCTGTATTTCTGCCGCATGAAGGGCTCAGATGTCACAGTGCAAGGTTCTTCGATGTACGAAATTTATTGCAAGGTCGACAGACGCCATGAAATTGGAGCATGGCACAGTGAATACCGGTTCTTCTGTGAGGAAAAGCCCCTTGTCAGCGACCGAAATCAGGTCGTAATATACGCAAAAATGAACGTATCCGGATGTAGAACGGCCCTACAAAGCCCAAACCCCTCCCTGCACGTCCTTGTTCTCCTGCGAGTGCCGGGCATACTCAGAGCTCAGCACGAAGGCGTCGTCAACCCCCAGACCCAGCAGCAGGAAGTACAAGTTGTTGTTCAGGTTGCCTCAGACAGGGTATATGGGGTTTAGGGTTTAGGAGTTTAGGGTTTTAGGGTTTTAGGGGTTAGGGTTTAGAGTTTGGGGTTTAGGAGTTTAGGAGTTTAGGGTTTAGGGGTTTAGGGGTTTAGGATTTCAATCTGTTTCGATATTGGATCAGTATGAAGGTGAGTATGAAGGATGACACCCAAACTCAGCATTCGGGCAAGGCTGTGATCACCTTTGTGCGTGCATGAAGACTCTACATCTCCCAACAAAATCCAACAAACAGTAATAACATCCGAAGAGCATAGTGCTGCAGAGATATACTCTTGTTAAGGTAACTTCCACCCGTAAACTGCCATGCGTCTAAAACAAATCAAGTTCCTGAGCAACCCGACGGTCCCAGACCCAACAAGCTGAAAACAACGTCAGTCCGAGTGACCGTTCGGCACGCCGAAATAGCCCATGAGGCCAAGCGTGCTGGCAATGGTCAAGCCGACAATCAGCACCTCAACGGCTGACATGCTTGCCTAAACTCTTAAGTCCTAAACTGCTACGAACCAGCCCGTCATAGAAGCGAAGTTTCGCAAGCCATTCGGACGTGCTATGCAGCCTCGAATGAAGATGCTCCAAACCAACAGTTCATGACACTTTGGAGTCTGGACAGGGCTGGTGGGCCAAGATTTCAGATTGATTCAGCGGAAGCCTCCCGTAGCAATTCAGGATCATTTCTGCGGCCCGCAAGGAATTCAACAAGAAACCCTAAACCCGTACACCCTGCACCCCAACGCGAAATTCTAGCTTTGTATGTTTACATGCCACGGCTCCGGCTTTTGCCGGACACCTGCTGAAATGGCCTGGTGCCTATTCCCAATGCTGAAGTTGACTTGTTAATGCTGGTAGTATGGTCCATATAGTGACAGTGTGTGTGTGTGTGTGTGTGTCTGTGCAATGTATGTACAAGAAATATACATACATATGTATATGTGCTATATTTGTATACATAGCATGTCTATGCTTATTTACACAGTGTTAAAACAGCTAGCACTTAAAGAGTTACGGATATGAATCAAGTTCTTCTCGAGGTCTTGCTGTGTTACAAGGTGGCATGACCATCAAACTTGGGTGTCGTCGGCGCCAAACCCTAACTGTCTAAACCTGAAACATAACTTTCTGGGTCGTGAGACCCTAGACCTGACACCCTGAATACAAAACCCTACCCCAAAACCCCTACGCCCTTCCAAAGAACCAGGAGGACGAAGAACTCTTTTTCCGGCCAGGGGCTGCCACGAAGGACATAGCGACACCAGAGTGGATCGCGTCACACTTGCCGATCATGATCTGGAGGAGCGAACACTTGTATAAAAACGATGATATAGCGGAACGTAAACAGAGGAAGAAAGAGAGAGAGAGAGAGAGAGACAGCAACATGCACGCGCGCGCGGGTCTGTGTGTGTGTGTGTGTGAATTTATGTCTATATACATACATATATATATATATATATATACACATAACTTTGGATCTGGGTACCTGTATTTACAGAGTTAGGGTTCGGGGCACAAGAATCGAGCAGGGGGTACATTTACATCTTGTTGGATGTCCGGTGTTCGGAAGCATGCTTCCAATGCTTCCTGCTGACCAGGGCCGTAGAAAATCGAAGCTACTCGCATCATTCATACAGCAAAGCTTACGTCTGCTATTATGCGGGTTACCAATTATAAATAAGGTATAAGTGTTGCTACAAGGGTTCTTATGGATGCACCACCCAACAAAAACAGCTGCACCTTCAACACCACTTCAGCACATTCATCTGTCGATCACAGATTTTAATGATAACCGTCCGTGTTATTTGAAATGGCAGTGTTTGGTTGAAGTGGTTGTTGACCGGACATGTTACATTAAAGGTCTACTCTGACTGAACCTACACCTCGGGCCTAAACAATGTCCTTTTCTGATGTGATAGCGATTACTGCAACGGTTGTTGTGAAAGTTGCTGTAAAGTTACTTGGGGTTTCTGGTTAGGACTCAGGGGTTTAAGGCACATTAATTTTTTGGGTGGGGTTTGGGGGCGCATTACTTGTCATCTCGTGTTTGACAGTGCACCAGTCTTCTGAATACTGCCGAGTGACAGCACAGTACACCTGATTGCAGGGCATGCTTGGCCACCAGGTTGCTTCATCAGGCAAACAGAAGGCTTAGGGTTTAGAGTCCAATAATTCAGGTGGTAACAGCCAGGGAAGAATCACTGCCGCGACAGTTGCTGTGAGAGTGCCGACCGTTGAATGTAAGCTGAACAGCACCATCGATCGCATCCAAGCAAGTTACTCTTGCTGTTACCACGTTCAGCCGTGTTGCGATGATCACCGCATAGGAGGAGGTCAACTTGGCAATGTCTCCACGGATGGCGTTTCCAAACTCCTGTGTCAGTGAATTTTAATCA